TCGTCGAAACGAGCGCTTCCAAGACGTTAACGTCATCAGACATGATCGATTTGGGGGTGGTTCTGTTATGGTGTGGGGAGGCATCACTGTTGCTGGAAGAACGGCTTTACATGTTGTTGCAGGGCGTGTTACAGGCCAGTACTACCGGGACAACATCTTGGCAGTCCATGTTGTGCCGTTCGCACGACGTCATGGCCGCCGTTTCATCTTCCAGGATGACAACGCAAGATGTCACAGGGCCAGGATCGTTACAGGTTACCTCCAACAACAGAACATCACCACATTACCTTGGCCAGCACTGAGTCCCGACCTCTCCCCCATCGAGCATGTCTGGGACATGCTTGGACAGAGGTTACGTCAACGTCCTGCCAATGTCCAAGAACTTGCTGCTGCGTTGCAACAGGAATGGGACAATCTGGACCAAAATGACCTTAGACGTCTCATTAGGAGTATGCCACGTCGGATCAATGCTTGTTTGGCAAACAGAGGAGGATTTACCCGTTACTGACTTGGTTGTGATGCTGTGGTAACTTTGCTGTTTGACCCCGGGTATCATTTTACCCTTATAATGGTCAGTCTGTGCCTTACTTAGTCTATCGATCATTTGGAATAAATCGATGAATGTGAACTTCATTTCATTTTGTCATTTGTTTCTTCGTCAGTTTCATTAGGTGACTTTAATAACACTTAAAAATCAAATATCCCCTACTTTTTTTGAATAGTATATAAGCTTTTAATTACACATTTTTTTAAAAATCTTTTGTATTTTCAGCAGAACGTACTGGTACCCGTCTTTTGTTTGCTACCTAGGGGCCTAGGGGAGTGCCAGCTTGTGAAGCAAATATATTTCATGTTGATTTATTGTGATACTGATAAATAATTGTATGTTTTATTTATGTTATTTACTTCTTTTCATATTGTGTGGGTGGGGGGGGGGGGGTATAAATATTGAGACACTAGACACTAATATATTGATAAAGTATTTTATTTTATGTATCTATTTATTTATATATTTTTTTTTTATTTCATTTTTTTGGGGGGGGAGGGGGGGATATTATTATTTTCATTATTTTATTTGTTTTTTTTTAATACTCAACAAGGGATTTGGTTTAAATTGATTGTATTATATCATTATTGATTTTAATTTTGTATAGTTGAATTAAGCATAATTATTTAATTTTATGTATTTCAAACATCAGAAATTAAACCATTCATGCTATGTGTAATGTGTTTGTATGGTTATGTTGATGGTTAAATAGGTTGAGAATTGAAGCCAAATGACCAATTTTCGCGAAAAAGGGATCTGCCAGTTGGTGTTACAGAATTCAGTCAATTTTGCTCCAATATTGATAAGGTTGGTTTTGTTACAATGCTGAGATGTATGGCTTTTCAGGAAATAACACGGTTCTGGAGAAAAATTAATATTTAAAAATAGCTGCCGGTCGATATTTAAGGATATGGGTTTATGGTTTACTGTTCCATGTAATTAAATTAATCATTAAAAATATGACCTACAATTTTTGTTTCAATTAAATAAGTTAATCTTAACAATAATATTAGGCTATTGCATTTTTTGATTTAAATAATTTAATCTTATCAGTTGAGGAAGAAAGAGTTGGTATTTCAATCTAATAAGGTGCCTATAAATTATATAATTATTCATCCAATTATGTAACATTAACATTGTCTGATCGCTTTATTTAATAATACATTTATTAATTTATCATAAAAGTATTGTTAATTAAAGATGCGTTTTTAAATGTTAAACAGGCATGATGTAAGAGCTAAATCTGCTTATTGCAGGTCTTTCTTTGGGCCTTAATGTTATGTAAATTATCAATTAGACATTTATTAACATGAAAAGACCATAATCAACTCTCGATGCCATCTGATTGCTCAGATTTTAAATAGATTAGAACGGTATGGTGGTAAATTTTCAATATATTCAATTTGCATTATCTATTTTTGAAATGTTATAGTTAATAACGAGAACGACCAGCTCTTTATCTAAATCTTACATAATTCCCCTTCAAATTTATGTCTATTGTTATTGTTTTATTTTAATTTAGGACATAAAGAAATATATTTTGGTTCTCGCTTGGATGACGTGTTTTAATTTTTTTTTTTTTTAAAAAAAACCCTAACAAAACAGTCTTGTTAATTACCCCGGTTACACGAAGTAACTCTGTAAAAAAATTTGACTAGATCTATAGGCTAATTTGTCAAGTATGCAAACAAGTTAAATGTTAATGACATGAATGATATTGGATACCGTAATCATATATTCATATAAACAACATGATGAGATAAATGTAGTGCCTTACAATTTTTAAAAACTCATCTGTTACAAACAAGTGATAACTTAGAGCTAAAGACTTCGTGTAGGTATGTTTTGCCAAGCGCTATGAACACAATTTTTGCGGAATTTTGGCGCTATAGAAATGGACGTTCATTATATTTATTTATTTGGTTCTTCTGGAAAAATACATACATCTATTTAAACACCAAAAGTACTTGGCTGTACTGTTCAAAAGCTTATAGTTCCAAATTTTTAAACAAAACATCTTTCACATGATTTAATTAGCTATTTATTTTTATATCGAAGCCCGAAGAACAGGAAATCAAATTGGTGTGGCCAACATTGAAATATCAGATATCAAGGATGAAGTTGCCTTTATCAACTCTTGTAAATCTTTTAATGTACAGGATTCCTGGAAGAATCTATTTTAGAACAAAAATTCCTTTTCATTGATAACTAAAGCAATAATTCCTTTTTTATTTAATACTAATAGTGTTTTCTTTTTCCTTATATATAATTGTTATATCTACTGAAGCTAATTTAATTTCTCAACAAAGCCTAGATCAAAAAGACTATGAATTAATTGCTTACATTGGGGTGGATTTATATAAGTAAACTTTTTTCCAGTTGTGCAAGCTGAAAAAAAAGTATGTGTGTATTTTTTTTTTTGGGGGGGGGGTCTGCATTTATAAAATTAACTAAATTAAATGACAGAGCGTCAGAGGGACTTAAAATAAATAAATGGCCATTTTCTAAAATTATTAATTAGGCCTAGATTGGAAAAGAATTTTGTAGGGATATTTACATCTTTATCAACTAAAGTATACAAACAAAGCTGAATTTATTAAAAAAAATACACATTTGAATATAAACAAGATTTTTAAAACTGTTCTAATATACCACGCAATTGATAATAAAATGCAACATCTAATTTTATTAATCATACTATAGATAGGCCTATACCGTAGGCCTGTGTGTGGCCTGTGTGTGGTTAGTTAGCTCGCAATATAACCTTTTTCCTTCTGCAAATTAAATTGTAGAACATTTTTTTGAAGTATTAGAAAAATAAAGGTGTTTGAAGTATTATCTCTATATCAAAAATATTTCCTAATTTTAGTGTAAATTGGTACGGTACATGATTCATGAATGAAGAAAGGCATTTTTTGCCCATTTGTAACCTTTTTTCAACTTAACGTCACACAGTAGCTATTTCATCTTTTGCAATAATCTAAAAATATTTTGGAAGGAGATATCTTGTTCTTTTTTTTCATATAATTTTTATATACGTGTTCATTTTATTAATTTCATAAATGTAAGTTTCAAAAATGTCAATTTCGCGTGTCACTGTGTGTACGTACTGTCGAAAGCTAGACCGGAAGTAAACACCCCCCCTGCGCAAAAAAATATGCGCACGAACCAGAACGCAACATCACGTAAAGGGCTAAAGACGAGTCGGCAATCATACGATATTATCTATGATAGCACCATAGTCATGGGCAGTTCTAGAGCACATCACGGATAGATCGTTGAATTACTGAAGCACGCATGTTTTGTCTCGGCCACTTCCTTTTTGTCTAGGAGAGGGTCTTCTCTAGGGATGTATTTCGTGAAAACCACGATTCTGAGAACAATTATGGACTTGATCATAGAAATTAAACAAGGTTTAGCTAAGTGTTGTGAACTTACATTTATGGAGGCTGCTATCCGTCTGCTACACTTTTATGACGTGCGCTTTACGTCATACGTCACAAAAACCGATGACGTTTTACCGTCTAAATGCAAATGTAAGTGTAAATGTAAAGTTGCGAAACCCCTCTAATGCAGTTATTACAAAAACACTTTGTTAAGATGATTGTAATATGCACAATTCAACTATAACGAAATCCTGCCATTATATAGTAACATCAACTGGGAGGTTCATACCCTCTTGAAATCAGTATTAAGGGGATAACTCCCCTTCTTTTTTTGTTAGATTTCCGACTGTCAAGGGTTTTTTAATGCTCATGCAGAAGAATGAACATAAAATATGTAATATTTTGTGACTGTAGTAAAAGCAATCAGTGTAAAAAATTCACATAATTGAACTCTAAAATAGACAATTGAAAAAAATTGCAACAAGTAATATAATAATTAGTAAATTATATAATAATAAATCAGTTTTTGGCAAATATCTTAAAAGCTATTGACTTTTAAACATATAAATGTATTACAGACCCCCTATAATGTGACCATTCCGATGATTTTGAGTGGTCACACAACCTTCTGGGTCCACCGGTTCTAGAGATACAGTAATGACAGGGGGTAGTGTTGCGCTTTAAAAGGGGCGTGGCATTTTCACGTATTTCGGCCCCGGTGACAAATGTGTCACCAACCAAAAAATGTTCAATGACCTTCAAATAGATGATTTTTGAAGAGTTTAGCTCTGGACATATAAGTGCATACAAAACTACCATGAGCTACTCTAGTAGGTGGAGATTTCGTTAAAAGAAAATGGCCAGATATCAGACTGTAGGAAACCCGGCTCAAGTTTTATTATTAAATAAAGTTTTGTATTATTCTAAAGACGAGTGAATGGTTTTCACTATTTAGCCCAACTAAATGTACAGACAATGAATCATTCGTGTTGGGTTGATCCGCGTCTAGAATCGAAATACAACCTTAACGTTTGCGCATACCGGAAGTTATTTTAGATTAACGGCCATTGTGTTAATTCGTCTCCGTCTGTTCACCAGAGACAAATTGTCTACGATACAATATCGGCGTAGCTGGAAGCGGGCGTTAATACCCCCTGTCTATAGGATCAGCCTTACTGGTGGCGGACATTAACAAACACAATCAATGTAGTTGTGGTATTGTGAAGACGAAGTGACAGTTCTGAAACTTAAGTCAATACTACAAAAGTAACAAAGGCCTACAGAAGTAAACAATCAACATGGTGAGATAAGATTTTATTGCATTAAATTTAATCCAACGAGTTGCATGTTACTCTTTGATAACACATTCAGCCTCAGACGAGCATACAACGAACTATTACTATTACTAGGGATGACAACAAAAAATTCAACTATCCCAATATTAATAATGGAGATGAAAAGTGCGTGCAGTCGCCAGCGGTAAAATTCCACTAACTTTCTTACATGATGGTCACATCGAAAGTTGTTTTCTACTTTCATTTTGACGTTGAGCTTTCTCAGCACTCAGAGCAGCTAGAGTAAAAATTCCAAAACGAGGCGAAAAAGTTAGCCTTTTATTTACAAAAATAACCACATTTGAAGCAGTTTCGTACCAATGGACAATCAGACGAGGAAGAAAAGCCAATACGCAAATCGCTTTGGCGTATCTGTGGCGTGACTCGCAACAACGAAATTATGCCATCGGTTCTATTACTGTATTGATTTATTCTACATGGTAATACATGTACATGTATATAGCTCTAACTTGATATCATCCATAGTATTTCATAGTTCTAACCTTACTTAAAGTTAAAGATACATTTTGTCAGATTTAGATAAAGACTTAGCCATTCTTGTAGGGCATTTCAGGTCAGCAATTAGCGTTGATGGAAAATCACTGGCTGCGTGACATCAGATGTCAAATCCATGATTTGATTGATAAGAACAAGACTATGTAAAGCATATTCGAAAACTATTCCCCATATTTGGCGTGTTTTGACGATGTGTAATTTGAAAATATCAACAAACAAAGTACTCGGCTTTACACTAGTTGTAATTTTTTCACGGTTGAATTCAAGCCGTGTCCCCTGCCAATCAACACTCAATGCGAGGTGACTTAAAGATACATTATGGGAGATTCGATAACGAGTTGGCACTATAACTATAATAGTTAAAAACTACATAATGTAAAAAGCAATTTGCTTAAAATTTCATTCAAATTGATCCACTCTGAACCGAGAATTTATCGATTGAAATTTCCACCTAGCCTCGTTCATCATTACTAAAGTCAGTACGATAAACAGCATAGTCTTGATTATTCATTTAATTGTTAAATCGTGTGGGAAAGTTATGCAGTAAATCAGCTCATAATCCATTAAAGATCACAGGCTAGTGATGCCATCTAGAGTTGATTATGGTCTGGATAGGTTAATAAATGTCTAATTAATAATTTAGATAACATTTCAGGCCTAAATAAAGATTTCCAATAGACAGATGTAGCTCTTGCATAATGTATGTTTAAGATAAAAATGACAGTGAATTAATCTCAGCTGCATCCCTTGCTAATCAACACGTTATACTAGGCGACTTACCATAAAAAAACATTTTGAAATATAAGTTTATCTCCCAAAGACCGATTCCTTTCGATATCGACATGTAACTGACCATCGCTTTATGATTTATGGCCCCTGATTGTATGAACAGTAAAGTTTTTAGCTTGTGGACCCACTAGAGGTCACAATTTTTATCCAATTTTGATGAAACTTGAAAGGTATGTTAACCCAAAGATTTTGATATTTGCGCATATAGGACAGCAAGTTCCAGGATTAGGGCAACTGATTAAAAGTAAATTGCGTCCTTAGCTTGTGGACCCTCTAAAGGTCGCAATTTTTATCTGTAAATTTTATATAGCCACATAGAAATGTGGTGGTATGTTGCTGTCGCATCTGTCGGTCAGTCATCTACAGAAATGAAATGGGGTTTAACGTCCTACTGTTCTGCTCCTATACTGGGCTAATGAAGACGGGCATACGCCATACAGTGTGTTATGAGGGAAATTTTGCCCGGGCAACGGCGCTACGGCCTACTCTTATATCGAATTCCAACTGCCAAGGGATCTTTTACGTGCATTCCAATGTATACATGGGACCTCGGTTTTTCGTCTCATCCAAAGGACTAGACAGCTGTCCTTGTCAGGCCCTCTGTTCTGCACCACTGACAAGGGGAAACCACGTCAGAAAATCTGGATGAACTTTCTCGGCCAATGCAGGGATTGAACACCCGACCTCCAGGCTAGCAGGCCAGCATCTTAACTACCTAGCCACCGTGGCTCCCCAGTCATCTACAATTTTTTGTTAATACTCTACAAACTACATTTATCGTCTGTTTATTTTTACATTGATGTATGTTGTTTACAATAGTGAGATGAAGAATCCTATTTAATTTCAATAATTTCCATTAATTTCTTCTATAGTTATGACCCTTGTTTCACTTTGGTGCTCCTTGTGATAACGACAAGAGTTATCATCCGATCAGTATGGAATTTATATTTTCATTTGAATTAGTGAAATGAAGCAGCCTTTTGAATTTAAGCAATTTCTGTAAATTACTTCAAGAGTTATGGCCCTTGTTCCAGTTTGTAGCACCTTTTTAATTCTCAAATGACGAAAATCACAAACTGATCTGTATGAAATTGTCTAGTCATTACCCCCCCCCCCTTACCAATTTTTGCATCAAGTGTCCTGACTGACATATCTAATGATGTTATAACTTTTATATATTACAGGAAACTAATGATGATATAACTTTTATATATTACAGGAAACTAATGATGTTCAAACATTTCATCAGTGTGTTGTATGTGATGAAATTTTCCAACAATATGATGATTTAGAACAGCACAATAAAATACATGTTAAAGAAGAGAAAACTGATGATGTACTTGAATATTGTCATGGTAAAGAAGAGAAAACTGATGATGTTGATGAATATTGTCATGTTAAAGAAGAGAAAACTGATGATGCAGATGAATATTGCCATGTTAGAAAAGAGAAAATTGATGATATAGACGAAAATTGTCATGTTCAGTTTGACGAAAAAAAGACAAATGATGTAGATGAATATTGCCATGTTAAAGAAGAGAAAACTGAAGATATTAAACCAGTTCATCAGTGTAATTTATGTAATGAAGAATTTAAATCAGACACTGATTTAGAGAAACATTGTAAAATACACGTTAAAGAAGAGTTGAACACTGATAATGATAGTGATGTAGGCCTACAATCAGCTGACAGTCAGGGTGTAGCAAAGAATTATAAATGTAATTTTTGTAGTAAATCATTTAACCATAATAGTGGTCTACAGCAACACATTAGGGTTCACACAGGTGAAAAACCTTATAAATGTGATGTTTGTGATAAATCATTTTCACAGAGTAATCATCTATATGGTCACATTAGAAGCCATACAGGTGAGAAGCCATATCAATGTGATGTTTGTAGTAAATCGTTCAGTTTTAGCCAAAGTCTGCAGAATCATCTCAAAATTCATACAGGTGAAAAACCTTATAAATGCGATGTTTGTAGTAAATCATTCTCCAGGAGTAGCGCTTTGAATAGGCACCTGAGAACGCATACAGGTGAAAAACCTTATAAGTGTGATGTTTGTGGTAAATCATTTTCACAGAGTAGTGGTCTATACATACACAGTAGAATTCATACTGGACAAAATCTAACTAAATGTGATGTTTGTAGTAAATCATTTTCACAGAATCAAGCTCTACAGATACACATGAGAATTCATACAGGTGAAAAACCTTATAAATGCGATGTTTGTAGTAAATCATTTAAAACGAATCACGCTCTACAGCAACACCTGAGAATTCATACAGGTGAAAAACCCTTTAAGTGTGATATTTGTAGTAAATCATTTAGACATAGTTGTAGTTTTCTGCAACATGTGAGAACTAATTGTGGATCATTCACAGAGAAAATTAAAATTCAGAAACCAATAACTGATACCCTAGACAAACCTTTTAAATGTGATGTTTGTAGTAAATCATATACTCAACAAGGTAACCTACGGAAACACAAGAAAATTCATACGGGTGAAAAACCGTTTGAATGCGGGGTTTGTAGTCGATCGTTCACCGAGAATGGTACGCTACAGGTACACATGAGAAAACATACCGGGGAAAAACCTTATGTTTGCGGTGTTTGTAGTAAATCATTCACAAAGAGTAGTGATTTGCGAAGGCACATGAGAACGCACACGGGTGAAAAGCCTTTTCAATGTGATGTTTGTAGTAAATCATTCACTGAACGAGATTCTCTGAAGAGACACATGATACTTCATACATGTATCGGAAAAATGGAATGAAATGGTGTTTGACATCCTACTGTGATGTTTGTAGTAAATCATTTACTGAACGAGATTCTCTGAAGAGACACATGATACTTCATACATGTATCGGAAAAATGGAATGAAATGGTGTTTGACATCCTACTGTGATGTTTGTTATAACTTTTAGAAAATAATCCTTGAGAAAAACTATAGTTCAGTCACTTAGGTGACAATTGTAAAACAAAAATAGAAATGGTTTAGATTTGTCTTTGATTCCATAAAGTAGTTAGATTTTAAAATGTTAAATACTGTGTTATTCAACATGGCGCCCGTGGGGTTTAATATATTTAGGTACGAATTAGTACCAAATGGTTTATCTATATGAGTCAAGGTTTGAACTATGCCTTGGAAATCGGAAGTAGGAGGCGACTAGTATGTGTCTCTCTTATGTGGACCTAAGTGAGATTGTCCGTTGTATTAACTGGACGGGTAGACCTGTTCTTCTTCGGTTATGTATCAATGTTGAATGAGCGGCTTCTTATCAACCTGATCAGGGTTTCGGAATAGTACATGTATCAATACATGAGTCCAATCAGTCTGAAGAATTCCATACGAACGAAAATTTCCCTCATAGCACACTGTATGGCGTATGCCCGTCTTCATTAGCCCAGGTTAGGAGCAGAACAGTAGGACGTTAAAAACAACATTTCATTTCATTTCAGAAGCTTTTCACACTCTATTCATTAAAATGTTTAGTTTCAAACTATTGTTGGAAAACTGTTCAAGTCTGTTGTGAATCATAAAAAAACATTGGGTTTCTACTGTTATGTAGTTTAAAGGGTCTGTCGAGATTAGATAATGAGTGTTGGGTTTATAACTAGTTACTTTCTCAAAAGGTGTTGATTATTTAACAGACTAAATGTAGTGACAGTGGTTCATATACATGTACAACCTTATTTCACATGATTACAGATCTTTATGTAATGAATAGAGTGTGAAAAGCTTCTGAAATGAAATGAAACTCCTGCTAAAACAACACAACTAAATGATACCTGAGTTGTAGTGGTGCTGGGTTAATCTTTTTTTTATCTACACAAGTGTTGATTTTACTGTTTTGAGTATTTTTGTGCCTAGATGTTAGTCTCAATATCCTATTTTCGCTCTGTTTATTTGCTAAATCACATCTAAACAAAACCCCCAGACCTGTGACAACAAGATTTGATGATGGTTTCTTATAAAAGGGACCCTAATAAAGATTTTTGTAGTCAATGTTTTTTACCTCTCTTTTCCTCCCCGGTCCCTGGCTTTGATGGTTTGGGTCTTCAGTAGTATAGTTTGTTTGGGTCAAATTGCCCCTCTACTATATCAAGTGAAATCACTTGCTTTTGAGTGAAAAAAAAAGTGACATATTTAAAGATACATTATGGGGGATTCGGTAATGAGTTGGCAGTTCTCACTATAATAGTTAAACACTAGATTATGTAAATGCAATTTGGTGAAAATTTCATTCAAATTGATCCACGACGAACCGAGAACTAAGCGACCGAAATTCCCATAACCCTCGGTCATCATTACTAAAGTCAGTACGATAAACAGCATAGTCTTGATTATCCATTTAATCGTTTAATCGAGAAGGAAAGTTATGCAGTAAATCGGCTTACAATCCACCAAATTCCCATAAGCCTCGGTCATCATTACTAAAGTCAGTACGATAAACAGCATAGTCTTGATTATCCATTTAATCGTTTAATCGAGAAGGAAAGTTATGCAGTAAATCGGCTTACAATCCACCAAAGATGGCAGGCTAGCGCTGCCATCTAGAGTTGATTATGGTAAGTGTTAGATATTATGAAACGGGGCCGATTTTGATAGATTCTATAAAGCGAGTATAATTTAAGCCCCGCCCTTTTGTTGTTTAGGTCCTTCACACTTTTTTGAAGGTTAGGGTTGCAAGGGACCATTTAATGTTGGGCCTAATGATGAACATAAAACTTATTCTCCCTGAAGTTGGATCGTTCTCTGAGGCAGAACGATTTCCAATACCACCTAATATGTCTACGAAAGTATTTCAATCTGATGAAAATATGTGGTATAGGGCCATGAATTTCCCTTTGTCTAGGATACATGTACATAAAAGGTAGTATTCTTAATTTATATAATAAAATCATTCAAATATCTTTTTTTTCATGGAAATTAATTGAAAAAAATACTCCAAAATCTTTTATAACGCGAGGCCGATTGGGTTCTATATGTGGTATAAGGCAATGATTTTCTCAATTTCTTGGATATATAGGATAATATTCTTAATTTATATAAGAAATCACTCAAATATCTTTTCTTTTTTTTTTAATGGAAATTAATTTAAAAAATACACCAAAATCTTTCAAACTTAAGAAAAAGATTCACTATAAAGCGAGGCCGATTGGGTTCTATATATGGTATAAGGCAATGATTTTCTCTATATCATAGGATAATATTAATTTATATAATCTATTCACCCTAATATCGTTTTTTGAATAGTATTCTTAATTTATATAATAAACAGACTCTATTGTTATTTTTTTTATGGAAATTAATTGAAAATATACTTCAAAATCTTTCAAACATAAGAGAGAGAGAAATGGGGTTTAACGTCCACTCGACACAAACTAGGTCATTTCGGGACTAACATATGGTTCCATTTTATTTCCATAATTGTAGGGGTCTTTAGCAGTGGGAGGACCCGGAGAAAACCCACAAGGTTGGACAGGCGACCCTACTCCTTGTCACGTACAACCGGGGATTCGAAACCACGCCAGTTGACTCAATGACAGACTTAATGATACAGCGCGCACATGCTAACCACTAAGCCATCCAAACCCCTTCAAATATAAGAAAAAGACTCACTATAAAGCGAGGACGATTGGGTTCAATGTGTGGTATAAGGCAATGATTTTCTCAATTTCTAGGATATATAGGATAATATTCTTAATTTATATAATAAAATCATTCAAATATCTTTTTTTTCAAGGAAATTAATTGAAAAAAAAATACTCCAAAATGTTTTAAACATAAGAAAAAGACTCACTATAAAGGGAGGCCGATTGGGTTCTATATGTGGTATAAGGCAATGATTTTCTCAATTTCTTGGATATACAGCGAGGCCGACGAAAAAATTTACGGGAAGATCCAATATCTGATTTTAGCCTCTCCTATACATAATGTGAAGGTCGTATGGCTACTCTGAACTGTCAATCAATGATTTTCTCTGTTTCTAGGATATGTAGGATAATATTCTTAATTAATTTATATAATAAAATCACGCTAATGCCATTATTTTATGGAAATTAATTGAAAGAAATACTCCAAATTTCTTTCAAATATAAGAAAAAGACACACTATATAATAAAGCGAAACCGATGGGTTCTAATTCTATGTGTCGTATAATGCGATGATTTTCTCCATTTCTAGGACATATACGATAATATTCTTAATTTAAAATAATAAAATCACTCAAATTTCGTGTTTTTTATGGAAATTAATTGAAAAAATATTCCAAAATCTTTTAATTTAAACAGACGCACTATACAGCGAGGCCGAACAAATATTTACAAGTAGATCCAAGATCTGATTTTAGCCTCTACTATACATAATGTCAAGGCCGTACATCGAACTGTCAATCAAATTGACTGACATGTTCCTCGCTCTATATCGTACATTGAAAACACGAATTTTTTGTCAGTTCAAATCAACATTAGTCTTGTGATCTTACAGGGAAAAGATGTGCTTCTGATATCCAATATTCAAGGCAAAATAAACATTTTACCATTGGTACACGAATCGTGTACCACAATGCATTTCAGCGCCTTTTGGAACAAGGGACTCAAAGAACGCGGCTAGACATATTCCACAAGTCATGTCAAATGGTGACGCTATATTCTTATCTGGAGAGCATGCACAATAAATATCATCGGTGTAGGCTGGAATAACCAAACGCTAAATACTGCTATTAATTGAGACTTCTGGCGTAATTCGCCGAACATAACTGATTAGAAATTACAGTAAAAACAGAAACAGTAGAATGTAAATCAGTTTATATACATTCACATTACATTATTATATGCTTTGTGACCCATTTTGGTCAATTTCTAGATCCCAAATATTAACGATTTAGCTCCTTTAAGTATACTTTTATCGCACTAGGGGAGATTTCTTTTTTTAAAAAAAAAATGGCCAGATATCAGTCTGTAATGACCATAGAAAACAAAACTGGCTCATTTTTATTATTCAATAAAATTATATTATTTTGTACCACAATCACGAACAGTGAATGTTTTTTTTACTATTGAGCCCAACTAAATGTACGACAGTGAATTATTCGTGTTGGGTTGATCCGCGTCTAGAATCGATATACAACCATAACATTTTGGCATACCGGAAGTGGTTTAATATTAATGGACGTTATGTTAATTCATCTCTGTCTGTGATGAAAGCAACGTTTCCAAGCTCATCAGAGACAAATTGTCTACAATATCAGCGTGGCTGAAAGCGGGCGTTAATACCCACAATCAATGTAGTTGTCACAATTTGAATGGTTTTGTGGAAGACGAAGTGACTGTTCTAAAAATCAACATGGTGAGATAAGATTTTATTGCATTAAATTTAATCCAATGAGTTGGATCAATCAGATTAAAACACAGATCCTATGTAGTGTTGGTTCAGCTCTGTACGTAGGTCTCATTACACTCGCCCTGTACGTTCAGGAACTGCCATCTTGAATCCTTTTCAAAAATAAAATCACACCCAGTCAATTTACTGCTAAACGGTCATGTGTTGGTCTCTGTGAATGCCTGATCAATGTAAACATTTTTGTGAGAAAATAAGACCATGCTTACCTTGCTAGCGTCAGTACGGTATGTGTAACAGAACATGCTTTTAAAAATAGGCCTACATGCCATTCTGCTAAACGGCTTGGCAGACACTAGAAATGTCTTCCGTCTTACTGCAGCCTATAGCCCTCTTAATTTACCCATAAACTGACCCCAAACTGTACTGCACATAGCTTAACATATAATAAACCAATTCCCATTGAAATAAAGGTGAAGTCTTACTGCATAATTATACGATTTGATGAAACCCAACTGTTACGCGAAATTTGGCGAGATTTCATGGCAGCTTACATTAAAAGAAATGTCGCTTTGAAAATGTAGAACACATTACCACAAAGAAAAACTGTTCAATAACTATGATAGTGGTTCCGTCTTCACTATTTGTGATAGAATTACCTATGTCAATTCAAACTGTTATGACATGTGTTGACAATTGTACATTTGAACCTATTTGTACTTGCGTAAGGAGTTTTAGACTGTATCAATTGTAGCTTTAAATACAGTTTAATGGTACAACATTTGTAGCTAGGCAGACACCAATGAAAACCAAGTATAGGGTAATGCACAAATTTAAGTAACTCGGCCATATAAGACGAAACGAAATTGGGATTTTTGAAAAAATTTGATTGTAAATTATTGTAATTGGGCTAGGCAAAGCAATAAATGACTGAAGATTCTCAACTTTTCAAAGATTTCAATTTTTTTACCCCCAGACTTCAATAAATTTCGATTCGTCTTATATGGCCGAGCTACGTAAATTTGTGTGTTACCCTATATTTAGATTTCAATGGTGTCTGCCAAGCCGTTTAGCAGAAGGGGAAGTATTTTTAACAGCATGTTGTGTTGCACATACTGACGCTAGCAATGGTAACTATATCTAAATTTTATGTAATTAATCAAAGTTGAATACAGAAAGAAATAATGAGTAATGTCAAAAATAATTCAAATTACCAGTCCAGTACCACTTTTCTTTTGTTTTATTTAACTTATGATTTTAAAAATATCCTTATGTTCCCCATTACGGGAGTTTTTGTCAATATTGTTTCATGTAAGATGATTGGTGTGCTTATTAGATTATATAGTATTTCTACATTAGAAATAGAGAGAGTCGGGGGGCATAAAAAATTAGTTTGGCATAACAACTAATATTGGCATGATCCCCAGCCCCATGGCGATTATCCTCTCACAATGTACAATTATATCTGCTTTATTAACTCTAAAATAGAGGTTGAAAAGAATTTGAGAACAAATCTAGCCAAATTACACCTTACAATATCCCAAATCGATGTTAATAACCGAAAGTCTCGATTTTTTTTGATTACATGTGAAGAGTTGCTTCCCTTAGTTCCATAGTTTTGGAGAGAAAATTAAAAAAAACCTTTGTTTGAAAATGCTGTAGAAATCTATTGTCGCACTGTAGAGCGGTACATGAGACCTTTCGCGACACTTTACCTCGTGATGGGGTAGAGTTGGCAGGTCTGAAACTAATAATGTTATAACTTTTATATATTACAGGATACAAATGATGTTTTAACTTTTATATGTAACAGGCAACTAATGTTGTTATAACTTTTATATATTACAGGAAGCTAATGATGTTATAACTTTAATATATTACAGGAAACTAATGATGTTATAACTTTTATATGTTACAGGAAACCGATGATGTTAAAACTTTCCATCAGTGTGTTGTATGTGATGAGATTTTTCAACAATATGATGATTTAGAACAACACAATAAAATACATGTTAAAGAAGAGAAAACTGATGATGCAGATGAATACTGTCGTGTTAAAAAAACGAAAACTAATGATGCAGATGAATATTGTCATGTTAATTTCAAAGAAAATAAAACTGATGATGTAGATGAATATTGTCATGTTCATTTTGACGAAAATAAAATAGACGATGAATATTGTCATGTTAAAGAAGAGAAAACTGATGATATTGAAACTGTTCATGAGTGTAATTTATGTGATGAAGAATTTAAATCAGATACTGATTTAGAGAAACATTGTAAAATACATGTTGAAGAAGAGTTGAAAGCTGATAATGATAGTGATGTAGGCTCACAATCAGCTGACTGTCAGGGTATTGATGTAGGCTCACAATCAGCTGACAGTCATACTGGAGTAAAAAGTTATAAATGTAATATTTGTTTCAAATCATTTACTCTTAAGTGTAATCTACAGAGACACATAAGGGGTCATACTGGTGAAAAGCCTTTTATATGTGATGTTTGTGATAAATCATTTGCTGACGTGCGTAATCTACAGAGGCACAAGATAATCCATAAGGGAGAAAAAGCTTATAAATGTGATGTTTGTAGTAAATCATTTACAGTAGGTGGAACTCTACAGAAGCACATGAGAATTCATACCGGTGAAAAACCATATGAATGTGATGTTTGTAGTAAATCATTTAGTCTTAGTCATGGTTTGCAACAGCACAAGAAAATTCATACTGGTGAAAAACCTTATAAATGTGATGTTTGTAGTAAATCATTTTCACAGAATCACGCTCTACAGCAACACATACGAATTCATACTGGTGAAAAACCATATAAGTGTGATATTTGTAGTAAATCATTTAGACAGAGCTCTAGTCTACTACAGCATGTGAGAACTCATTCTGAATCATTGAAAGAGAGAAGTCAACTTCAGAAACCAATTACAACTAATACTGTAGATAAACCTTTTAAATGTGATGTTTGTAGTAAATCATATACTGAACGAGGAACTCTACGGAAACACATGAGAATTCATACGGGAGAGAAGCCGTTTCAATGTGGTGTTTGTAGTCGATCATTCACAGAGAGTGGTACTCTACAGAAACACATGCGAACCCATACGGGAGAAAGACCTTATACATGTGATGTTTGTAGTAAATCATTTGCTGTACGTGGTAGTTTGCAGAACCACTTGAGAATTCATACTGGGGAAAAACCATTTAAATGTGATGTTTGTAATAAAGCATTCAGTGAAAACGGTAGTCTACAGAAACATATCAGAATTCATATGGGACAAACCTTATAAATGTGATGTTTGTAATAAATCATTCAGTGAAAACGGTAGTCTACAGAAACATATCAGAATTCATATGGGACAAACCTTATAAATGTGATTTTTTGTTGTAAATTATTCACTATATACATCTATGTCTAAACTCAACTCATCTATCACAAGGACCGTTTTTTAGTGTCGAGGATAATATGAATTATGACACAACCAGTGATGGGATTTTACCTGTATATTCCGGACTTGTCCGAATCTTTTTTCGAAACGCCCAAAATTGTCCGACCGGGAATATGCCCAATCGGACATCAAGACATGGTGAATAATATTCAAATTCCAAATTAATATAGTGTACTGAGTGATTAGGTAATTAAGTGATCGACTATTTATCGTGTTATGTCGTCTACACACCTACCTTGATTAACAACTATTCTGCCTTGATTGGCTGAATTAATCCTTTGTCGGACAATTCATCAAATCAATCCTGAACAGATGTCATTGCTTCTCCTTTGTCGGACGATATATCAATCCAATAAGAGTGATTATAAACTTAATCTGATTAACCCGTGATTTGTCCATTGTCTCACGTTTTAATCTCCTTTGTGTCGGACAATAACACGTAGAAATTAGTCATATATGTCACATATCCTGATAGTATATAACACCGCAAATCAACATACATTGTATCCGATAACTTGTCTGTGATATATTTTCGGTGAAAGCCGAAGTTTAATAAAGATATTTCACACACACGCATATGGCGCTATAGTTCAGTAATTAAAATGAAAGTACAAATCTCGCGAGACACGTGAAATTAAGAGGTGTATACGCGCCGAATTCAATACGACTGATGTCCGGGAAAAGATTCTATTTTGATGGCATATTGTCGGATTTATGATCATATTTTGAATGGGGTTTATGTCTTTAAATAAATAAATAAATAAATAAACACCCTAAGAAATGTTGACGATTATTTCGATTGGAATGACGTAAGTAGTTATTGTTTTAGACGATAGCGCGTGCTACAGTCGAATGCAATTATTTAGCAGTTGGTGTCAAACGCTCGTTGTATTTGAGCGTCGTTAACTACGGTTTACGGCCAAATAAATTTCCGGATGTCATTTTTTTACCTTATGAATATAAATCGAAAAGTAGTATCAGACGAATGTCGGACTATGCTGAAAAATGTACCGATGTATGACCCGAAAAATACGGTCATTTTGGGGGAGTTTGAAACAGATCGACAGCAGTCGGCACGCTGCCATTCTATAGTATTGATGTCATGTAATTTTGTAGGAATATTATTGACATAAATTTGAATACCGTATGAGTTTTAAACATGAAATATAACGAGGTGCACCTATTTTTTTTTACATATGAATTTTAATATATTTTGTTGACACGTGATTCTTAATTGTGTTTTGAAAACGTCTGCTTAAATTACGATAAGAGTTATGCCCCTTTATTTTCGGGAAAAAAATGTCCGACAAAATGTCCGACAATAATTTTTTTGAAATCCTATCACTGGACACAACCGAACATGTTTGTTCTGATTTGTAATGATTGTTGCCATTTTTACATCAAAGAAACAAGCACAAATGTACGGGATAAGGTATGGAACCATCGTTGAGATTGCAATATGGAAAATGGGTCCTTATGTGTTAAAAGGCACATCTTTGGCTGTGCACATCACATACAAATAATATTTCAAATTTTCCCTTTTTATAAAATGTTAATCGCTGACATAACAGATAAAAAATTATGGAAAACGATTTTATTAATTAGTAAGAATGGTCCATTAATTCTCTTAATCTATCCCAAGATTGTCCCCCACTCATTGTTCCTAAATTATATTATTATTAATTAGTAAGTAAGAATGGTCCATTAATTCTCCTAATCTATCCCAAGATTGTCCCCCACTCATTGTTCCTAAATTATACCTGTATACAACACAAGTTTGTACATGTTCTCTGTATGTACATGTACACGTACTACATGTATGTAACTATAGACAATCAAAAGCACCGTTTTACTATAATAATATGTATAAAATGTTGTATTTAGTCCATCTCTACACATTGACATTAGATGAATGAAAAGTAATGGGATTAAAGTGGCTGTATACAATAAACTGTTAACATAATAAATCAGTGTTTATGTGATGACAATGTCAATATAATTTTTATACGCCCACATTTTCATGTGGACGTTTATTGTCGTCGCCCCCGTCCGTCCGTCCACAATTTGTTTGTGGACACTCTACAGGTCACAATTCTTATCCGTTTTTGACGAAACTTTAAATATAGGTTTATCTCCAAAAGATCTTGGCTGCTTTCGATATTGGCATGTATCGGATCGAAAAATCACGTTTTTAGCTTGTGGACACTATAGAGGTCACAATTTTTATCCGATTTTGTTGAAACTTGAAATGTAAGTTAATAAACCAAGGATCTCGGTTTCCATTCGATATTCGCGCATATCGGACTGTAATTTCCTGAATTATGGCCCCGGATTGTATGAAAAATCACGTTTTTATCACCGTTACAACCTAAGGATGGCCGAGTTCGAATTTCGTGAAAATCAGCCCAAAATTGACAGACAAATAGTTCTCAAATAGAGTAAAAATATGGTATATCAAGGTTATGGATCCTATAGAGGTCACAATTTTTATTCGATTTTGTTGAAACTTGAAATATAAGTTTATAACCCAAAGATCTCGGTTCCTTTTGATATTCGTGCATATCGGACCATCACTTCCTGAATTATGGCTCCTGATTTTAAGAAAAATCACGTTTTTAGCTTGTTCTCTATCCATCTCTCGAAAATGTGGGCGTATCCTGCCTGGCAGTCGCTGGTTATCACTTGTTTTTAAAATGGGTATTAATCAGTGTAGATCTTTGAATTTGAATTTATGACTGCATTGGAATTAACAATTTTATTTGCACACATTTAAATAAGTTCAAAGAAGAATCCTATGGAATATCAGCAATTTCTGTTGAATTTATGACTGCATTGGAAGTACATGTAACATCTATCAAATTTCAGTTAATTAAGTCTAGCATTATGGCCCTTGTTTCACTTTGTTGAACCTTGTGAAAAGTTATCATCCAATATTAGTGAAATGTATATACATGTACATGTACGAAGAAGTCTATTGAATTTCATTATTTTCCATTGATTACTTCTAGAGTTATGGCCTTTGAACATTCTGACACCAAAAGTTTTCATCTGATCTTTGTGAAATTTGTATGCTTAATTCAATTAGTGACACGAAGAATCCTATTGAATATCAGAGATTTCCATTATTTTTTTCTGGAGTTAATGCCTGTGTTTAATCTTGTTGCAGCTTGTGAATACTCCAACGACCAAAGTTATCATCCAATCTGTATAAACTTTATACGCATCATGTAAATTAGTGAAACCAACAAGCCTCTTGAAAATGAAATGAAATGAAATGGTTTTTATACGCCCACATTGAAATGTGGTCGTATATTGTTGTTGCCCCTGTCTGTCCGTCCGTCGGTCCATCCGTCCGGTGTCCACAATTGCTTGTGGACGCTCTATAGGCTAAAGTTAATATCTGATTGACTTTAAATTTATACTCAGTGTTTAAGGTCACGAGACGAAGAAGCCTATTGATTTTCAGTGATTTTCGATAATTACTGCCAGAGTTATGGCCCTTGATCACTTCAAAAAATCTTGTGGACGCTCTAGAGGTCAAAGTTAATATCCGATTAACTTTAAATTTATACACGGTGTGTAAGGTCATGAGACGAATAAGCCTATTGATTTTCAGCGATTTCCGATTACTACTGCCAGAGTTATGGCCCTTGATCACTTTGTAAAATCATGTGGACGCTCTAGAGGCTAAAGTGAATATCCGATTGACTTTAAATTGATACACAGTGTTTAAGGCCATGAAACAAAGAAGCCTATGGATTTTCAGCGATTTCCGATAATTACTGGCAGAGTTATGGCAGAGTTATACACGGTGTGTAAGGTCATGAGACGAATAAGCCTATTGATTTTCAGCGATTTCCGATAATTACTGCCAGAGTTATGGCCCTTGATCACTTCAAAAGATCTTGTGGACGCTCTAGAGGCTAAAGTTAATATCCGATTGACTTTAAATTTATACAGTGTTTAAGGTCATGAGACGAAGCAGCCTATTGATTTCCGATAATTACTGCCAGAGTTATGGCCCTTGATCACTTCAAAAAATCTTGTGGACGCTCTACAGGTCAAAGTTAATATCCGATTGACTTTAAATTTATACACAGTTTTTAAGGTCATGAGACGATGAAGCCTATTGATTTTCAGCAATTTCAGCAATTTCAGATAATTACAGCCAGAGTTATGGCCCTTGATCACTTTGAAAAATCTTGTGGACGCTCTAGAGGCTAAAGTGAATATCCGATCGACTTTAAATTTATACACAGTGTTTAAGGTCATGAGACAAAGAAGTCTATTCATTTTCAGCGATTTTCGATAAATACTGCCAGAGTTATGGCCCTTGATCACTTGAAAAAATCTTGTGGACGCTCTAAAGACCAAAGTTAATATCCGATTGACTCTAAATTTATACACAGTGTTTAAGGTCATGAGACGAAGAAGTCTATTGATTTTCAGCGATTTCAGATAATTACTGCCATCTATGGCCCTTGATCACTTTGAAAAATCTTGTGGACGCTCTAGAGGCAAAAGTCAATATCCGATTGACTTTAAATTTATACACAGTGTTTAAGGTCATGAGACGAAGAAGTCATACATTTTCAGTGATTTTCGATAATTACTGCCAAAGTTATGGCCCGTGATCACTTAAAAAAATCTTGTGGACGCTCTAGAGGCAAAAGTTAATATCCGATTGTCTTTAAATTTATATACAGTGCTTAAGGTCATGAGACGAAGAAGCCTATTGATTTTCAGCGATTTACGATAATTACTGCCAGAGTTATGGCCCTTGATCACTTAAAAATTGCTTGTGGATGCTCTAGAGGCAAAAGTTAATATCCGATTAACTTTAAATTTATACACGGTGTGTAAGGTCATGAGACGAATAAGCCTATTGATTTTCAGCGATTTCCGATTACTACTGCCAGAGTTATGGCCCTTGATCACTTTGTAAAATCATGTGGACGCTCTAGAGGCTAAAGTGAATATCCGATTGACTTTAAATTTATACACACTGTTTAGGGTCATGAGATGAAGTCTATTCATTTTCAGTGAATTTCGATATTTACTGCCAGAGTTATGGCCCTTGATCACTTCAAAAGATCTTGTGGACGCTCTAGAGGCTAAAGTTAATATCCGATTGACTTTAAATTTATACAGTGTTTAAGGTCATGAGACGAAGCAGCCTATTGATTTTCAGTGATTTTCGATAATTACTGTCACAGTTATGGCCCTTGATCACTTTGAAAAATCTTGTGACGCTCTAGAGGCTAAAGTTATCATCCGATTGACTTCAGATTGGTACACAGAGTTTAAGAGCTTGAGACGAACAAGTATATTGATTTTCAATGAATTTTTATGACTTGAACAGCTAAATCCATGATATTAAAAGTTTTGTATACTAAACGTTAGCATGGGGCAGAACTTTATAAAAACCAAACAAATTCTAATGGTTTTCTGATAATTACTTCATGAGTTGTTACTCTTAATCAGATTTTAGTGTATTATAAATGTTTCATTACCGAAAGAAGTAAAAATATGCGACAACACTTGTTGACTGCCCGGACGATTTAGCTGCTGTGGGCGTATGTTTCGTTGCCTGGCAACCTATCTTTAACTATTATAGCGAGAACTGTCATCTCTTTATCTTATCTCCCATAATGTATCTTTAAGCAATCCAGGAAATAAATGATGTTAAACAAATGAAAACCATAACAAAATATGAATAGACAATAATAATGGGAATACCAGCCTATTCTCAGATGACTAAATAAGCAATGTGAGGTGATTAAACATGTATAGGTTGGCAGGCTGATTGTGAGAAACCAGTAGGGTGATATATTAAGTAATGTAGACAGTTTATAACACTTGAAGTAACGACGTAATATAAAGCCACTGAAATTAAGGAATTAGAACTCATTAAATGGTATTATTCATCCTGATAACATGATCATATGCCCTTGAAATGTGAAGCCCTGTGTCCCTGTTCAGTTCTGGTGAATATCTTCTAATGTTAATGACTTCTAGGATTTTCCTGGTTTTCTTATTCTGTTGGTTGGATGTAAGAATCTGCACATCGTTCCATTCGAATCTATGCTGCGTGTGGTTTCGAAGATGCTCTGCTATGGCTGAGTTGTTGGTAGCAGCTTTAGATCTGTGTTCCGATATTCGTTTATCTAGGGGTCGTTTAGTTTCGCCAATATATGAGAAATCACAGGAGCAGTTGACTTGGTAGACGACTCCCTTAGGCTGAATAGGTAGGCTTGGCTTTAGTTTGCCATTCGCTTTCAGTATTTGTTTTAAGGTGGTAGGGACAGAGAATGTGGTATCAATGTTGGACTTCTTGAGTAGATTGCTGACTTTGTATGATAGGTTGCCATAAAATGGTAAAATTATTCTGATCATCTCTTTGGGCATTTTTTGTTGGCTTCTTTTGATGTTTTTTGTTGGCCGTTCCTTGTATGCAAATAATGTAAAAGTATATAATACAAATGTTGTGGACCTTCTAGAAGTCACAATTTTGTGGACCTTCTAGAAGTCACAATTTTGTGCATTTCAGACCAGAACTTCCTTAATTATGGCCCCTGATTGTACGAAAAATCACTTTTTTTTTTAGCTTGTTCTCTATCCATCTCTTGCAAAATGTGGGCTTATATTGTCTGGCAACCACTGGTTTCAAATTCACAGCAGTAATATTTGTCAAAAATTACTGTATTTTTCAGGGTATAAGTCGATTCTTTATATACGGATGGAGTAAAAATAAAAAAATGACATCCCGAAAATTTTTGGGCAGTAACCGTCGCTCCACGATACAGAGCGAGTGACGTCAACTGCTAGATAATAGCACTCCACTCTGATCGCATGCGGTCAACTGGCGTGGTTTCAAATCAACTCTCAGTTTGTTTATTTCTTTTTTAAAATCATAAACTCCATTCAAAAAATTATCATAAATGGGAGAATATGCCATCAAAATAGAATCTTTTGTACGACATAACTCATGAGATGATTGTCATGATTGTTTACATCTCTCTTATTTACATGCATCTCGCGATATTTCTACTTTAGTTTTCAGTTATTGTATTATAACTACGAGTGTGAGTGTGTGTGTGTGAAATAGCTTTATTTAACATTGCTTCCGCCGAAGTCAGCGTGGTTCCCCTTGTCAGTGATGCAGGACGGAGGGCCTGACAAGGACAGCTGCCTAGTTGTTCAGATGGGACGAAAAACTGAGGTCCCGTGTACACATTGGCGTGCACGTAGAAGATCCCTTGACAGTTGGAATTCAATATAAGAGTAGGCCGTAGTGCTTCTGTCCGGGCAAAATTTCCCTTGCACACTGTATGGCGTATGCCCGTCTTCATTAGCCCAGTTCGGAGCAGAACAGTAGGACGTTAAACCCCATTTCATTTCATTTTCATTTCATTTCATTTCCCCCGAAGTCATATCGCAGACTAGTTAACAGGTAAATTGATTTGGGGTGTTATATACTATTAGAATATGAGACATATATGACTAGTTTCTACATGTTGTCGGCCGATATCAAGGAGATTAAAATGTCTGTTAATGAAGAAACCATGAGTTAATCACATAGATTAAAGATACATTATGGGAGATAAGATAAAGTGATGGCAGTTCTCGCTATAATAGTTAAAAACTAGATAGTGTAAAGGTAATTTGTTGGAAATTTCAGTCAAATTGATCCACTATGAGCCGAGAAAGAAGCGGGTGAAATTTTTGCATAGTCTCGGTCATCATTACTAAAATCATTAATATAAACAGCATAGTCTCGATTATCCACTTTTTTTGATTTAATTATCAATGGCTGTTAGCGGCATATAGGAATCTAATCCAGCCAACATCGAAGGCTAGCCTTGACATCGAGAGTTTATTATGGTCTGGATAAGTTAATTAATGTCTAATTGATAATTTAGATAACATTTCAGGCCTAAAGCAAGACCTGCAATAGACAGATTTAGCTCTTAAATAATGTATGTTTAAATGATTTTCGACTTGAGGCCAAACTTTTGGTAATGAATTATTCGTGTTGGGTTGATCCGTGTCTATGATTAAGATAAAACCGTCAAATATATCAAACCGGAAGCGGATTTTATATGGGGGGAGAATTGTTAGAATTGTTATGTCAATCAGAAGTGAGAAGAATTATTTTTTTTATGACTTTCCGACTCAAACGAATTATTCGTTACGTCGTTGACTCGGTAGAAGATGAACTGTAGCCTCATTAAATCAGCAACATGACGTTCTTTTTTATGGTTTTAAAGTGACTTGAAATTGAAAAGTAATAGCAAGGTGACGCCAGCATTAGGCCTATTCATCTCTTAAAATTTAATCTAGAAAATTAAAACCTTATCCAAAGAATAATCATCTGAATAAATAATCAACATGGTAAGATATGATATGATTTTTTTGGGGGGTCAAATCCACTTTTAAAGGATTTATGTGGGATATGAAATTGAAACCTTTGACTAATAATCGACTGAATACCATGATAGGTACGTTTAAGATATCAAGTACATGTATGGTTAGTTCTTTGGGATATTATCATAACAGCCATATGCCATAACAGCCTTATGTCATAACAGCTAAAAACAGGTTTGGTCAAAACGGTGTTACTTTAAAGGGACAATAACACTCTTGCTGGCTTGAAAGCTCCAGAAAATAAAAAATATCCTTATTCTAAGTACTAGATGTGTTAGTGTCCTACCTGTTGTGTACATTATCCATTAAATCCTATTTTACTTGTCCAAAGGGTTCAAAATCATTTACTGTCTGATTCATCGTAAATTTTAAACGGATTTCTTCGATTATGAACAAACTACTTAACGTTGGTTATTATAAACTTACCTGTGTGTTTGTAATGAACTCCCGTTCGATAAAATCCATTGCACAACTAATTATCACAACGATGAAAACAAGTTCTCTCTTGAAAAATTGAAATATCACAAACTTTTCCCAGAGAAAAATACCAATATGGAAGATGGTTACGTCACTCTGCGGAAGATATCATTTCGTATTAGGGGTGACAGCATAGGAAATTCAAGTACAATTACGACAAGAATCCATGACCACTCGGACCAAAGATCACTCGGTTCAAGACCAGTCGGACCAAGTGATAGACCACTCAGCCCAAACAAATAGACTACTCGGACCATACAAAAAGACTATTCGGACCCAACAGAAAGACGACTCGGACCAATAATAAAATGTTGTTTTAATAAATTGATAATTGCGTTTGTTTTAATATAATTACTCGAACCAATAATAAAGTGTTATTTTAATAAATTGATAATTGTGTTTATTTTAATATGACTACTCGAACCAATAATAAAGTGTTATTTGAATAAATTGATAATTGTGTGTGTTTTAATATGACTACTCGAACTAATAATAACGTGTTGTTTGAATAAATTGATAATTGTATTCCAAATCGCAAAATATCGAGAACCACACTTGTAGTCACGTTTAAAAAGGGGCATATAAACGTCCAGTCTTCGTATTATTATGTGCTGTTTATATTAACGCATCAAGGGCGGATAACTTGAAAACGTGTCTCCACCCCCCCCCCCCATATATAGTAACCCAGGGGTTAGTGGGGTAGAACGGAATGAAACCACTGGGGATACCGCGAATGTGGAAAAAGTAAAATTAGGCTATCAGACAAGAACAGTATACCCGTATATGTAGAAACTGTCAAAAGTCTGGACATACCGAGTCTCATTGCAAGAGTAAAGAAAAATTAGATTGATATTTTTTTTTGGCACCATTATTAATTAATTTTAAAACTAATCGTTGATTTATTTACGTACACAAAATTTAACCAAACAACTCTAAATATAAGAATTCCGTATAAGAATTATTTGCTTCTTTGTATTGTGATTTAATAATAAATAAATAGCATATTGTCTAGCCTTATAATATAATTTAATTGGTCCGACTGGTCTTGTTTTGGTCCGACTGGTCTTAGTCCGAGTAGTCTTTGGTCCGAGTGGTCTGGATACCTACGACAATTGGCATTGAGTTTGAGCGTTCGCACACATAACTACCCGCATTCCTGTATTTAGTTACCGTCTTTTACATTCTAGTAAAATCTCTGCAAATTTTATAGCTTTACTTTTTGAAATATTTTGTTCTAATTATTTGATTAGCGACTCGGATGGGATTACTTACTTTTGAACACGCATGCCGCACAAACACAACTATACATTCGTTTTACGGGCTTTATCACACTTCGGTCAAAACTGTCGAATCGAGAATTAATGTTCCGCTTCTTACGGGGTCATACGGGCTTAGTAGCATTATATACCCACCCGGGCACCCAATACGGCAATAGACACGCTGAGGGCTGCCGCAACACGCTTAAAGATGTTACTGAAGCGGTTATTATTCGATCGAAAGAATGCGTATAAAATTAAAAATACACTCAGAGAATTCGGAGGTAAGCTTCATGATCCTTGTTAAATTATTTATAACATAAAGAAGATAGGATATTTATAGTTTATTTATGACTTTATTTTTACGAGTATCCGTGCAATCAGTGATATTTTAATTGTGAAGAAAATTTGATAGACTGGCGATCAATGGTTTCCATATAAATCTCCTATGTAATTGCCTTCAATTGATATTTTTCGTCGCCCAAACCCATATACGATTAAAATGATCGCGCTGTCAAACTATCTTTCAATGTTAACCAACCCCCGCAACAGGTATATTGGATTCGACCAATACGTCACGAAGACATTGTTGACATCGACTCTGTCGAAATTACAAGTAAATTTTCAAATTTTTCAAGAGAGAAATTGTTCTCATCGTTGTGATAATTAGTTGTGCAATGGATTTTATCGAACGGGAGTTCATTACAAACACACAGGTAAGTTTATAATAACCAAAGTTAAGTAGTTTGTTCATAATCGAAGAAATCCGTTTAAAATTTACGATGAATCAGACAGTAGTTGAATTTTTCCAATTTTTTAAATTAGGTGTATTAAGATGAAATTTGTATCATCAATTAATTGGAATATTGTAAAATAGTACAATTTGTTGACCAGAATAAAGATTGGGACATATTATTCAGTTACAACAAGAGTGGTATTGAGCCTTTAATTTAATGAAAAACAATATATATAAACAAAACATTCAGGTGGCACTACAAGCCATTTGTCCTGAAGAATTTTTCAGTGGAAAATTGCCTATAACAGGCTGTAATTAAATTAATGTTTATATAATGTATTTATATTATGCTACTATCTATTATGCAATATTTATGTTATTTCGTACATGTCATAAATGTTTTTGTTTTTTTGGTGGGGGGGGGGCGTTATGACCAGTCTGTATGACTGTTACAATCAAATTTTTTGGCCATTAAGGTTTAGGGCTGTCATGTTCTCTCACCGGTTCTGTTTGTCTCTATAAGCTGTAATATGAAAATACCATTCCAGGGTTAGAAATTCGTCATTTTTTGCGAGAATCTAAGAGGATTCTCATATATGGATTCTGCGCGAATCCTCCGAATCTTAATTAATAATACTGCCTAAAAAAACAAAATTGTGTTTATTGTGATAATCTAAAACACCAAAATACAACAACAATGATAAAAACCCCAATCAGGTGGGATTTTGGTAAACACTTAAATTGTGTCAAAAGTGATATTCAGAAAATGTCATAGTCAAAATAAGCTGATACAGCACCATGGCATTTCTTCATAGCACAATTTGTAGTCTTTTGTACATCACGCAACTAGTCACGTAACTTGCAAAAGTTTTTATTCATTCGTCGATGATAGACAAACTGCACAATGATCACGTGACAAAATAAACTTCGGTACGACTATGATATAGCCTTCAATAATCTTTTTAAAATTAAGTCTCTGTCAGCATGTATATAAAAAAAAAAAATCATAACGGTAAACGCAATTTAGAACAGGTTTATTGACCTAATTCCAACCAATATGTCACGTGTCATTGGAATTTGACATTCGAGATTCTGTTGGGAAAATATCCACTGTTTCTCTCTCCGTGTATTCGGTGTTCTATCAGGGGATTATATTCAATGCAAATTTAAATTTAACTAACAACTGGTTGGTCAATCCATCAATGTATGATCCAGTTATTATTTTAATACCTGGAATTCACACGGACGGAGCGTGGAAGATGTGCAATTCGCAAACCATGCCGAGATCGTCTTCATTCACAACGTGCATATTTTACTGAACCTAGTATGAATTATCAGCAAGCTTGTTTTGTTTTTTTTACCGGATTATCAAAATAACTGTTAAATGTGCTAATTACTCGGATTAAGGTATGACTGTTGTTGTAGCCGACACTTCTTTATTAACAAGTAATAATTAACGCGTTGTAATATTAGACAAAAAAAAGATTGATTTATGATACCATGTGGCCGATTCATTGTTTTACCAATCGGCTAGATTAAACATCAATCGGCTAAATCCCACAATTAACCCTGACTGACATTCAACAGTTGGACTCGAGAATTCTCCGAGATTTTTTTTTTTAAGAAAAATTTTTCGCGCAAGCTCTTGCAAGAATCCTTGCGCGAATCAGATTCAGAGATTCGCATGAATTTCTAGCCCTGCATTCTACCCACTACCTTGGTTCTTAGGCTATATTGGAATCCTTACTCTTTATTTTTCACTCTTATTCTTCTTTGGTTTCCAAAATAGTCCCGAAATGACCTAGTTTGTGTCGAGTGGACGTTAAATCTCATTTCTCTCTCTCTCTGTTTTCCAAAAGGAATCATTTCTCGCCACATCTGACATAAATTTTCATAATATAACAGGATACTAATGATGTTATAACTTTTATATATTACAGGAAACTAAAGATGTTATAACTTTTATATATCACAGGAAACTAATGATGTTATAACTTTTATATATTACAGGATACTAATGATGTTATAACTTTTATATATTACAGGATACTAATGATGTTATAACCTTTATATATTACAGGAAACTAATGATGTTATAACTTTTATATATTACAGGAAACTAATGGTGTTATAACTTTTATATATTACAGGAAACTAATGATGTTATAACTTTTATATATTACAGGAAACTAATGATGTTAAAACATTCCATCAGTGTGTTGTATGTGATGAAATTTTTCAACAACTTGATGAATTAGAACAACACAATAAAATACATGTTAAAGAAGAGAAAACTGATGATGCAGATGAATATTGTCATGTTAAAGAAGAGACAACTGATGATGTAGATGGATATAGTCATGTTAAAGAAGAGAAAACTGATGATATAGATGAATATTGTCATGTTAAAGAAGAGAAAACTGAAGATATTGAAACCATTCATCAGTGTAATTTATGTGATGAAGAATTTAAATCAGATACTGATTTAGAGAAACATTGTAAAATACATATTGAAGAAGAGTTGAAAGCTGATAATGATAGTGATGTAGCTGACTGTAAGGTTAATGATGTAGCCCTACAATTAGCCAACAGGCATGCTGAAGCAAAAGCTAATAAATGTGATGTTTGTTGTAAATCATTTACGAACAGGTGTAATTTACAATTTCATATGAGAGTTCATACTAGAGTAAAACCTTATAAATGTGATGTTTGTAGTAAATCATTCACTGAAAATGGTAGTCTACAGAGACACAAGAGAATTCATACGGGTGAAAGACCATATGAATGTGATGTTTGTGGTAAATCATTCACACTACGTTGTATTCTACAGAAACACATGATCATTCATACTGGAGAAAAGTGCTTCCAGTGTGATGTTTGTGGAAAGTCATTCACACTTTCTTATACTCTAGAGCAGCACATGAGAATTCATACTGGGGATAAACCCTGTAAATGTGATGTTTGTGGTAAATCATTTAGACAGAGTCGTACTCTAGGGAAACACATGCTGACACATGCGGGTGAAAACCCTTTCAAATGTGATGTTTGTACTGAATCTTTTTCTAAATTTGGTACTTTACAGAAACACACAAGAACACATACAGGTGAAAAACTTTATAAATGTGATGTTTGTAGTAAATCATTTACTGACAAGCGTAATCTACAAAGACACATGAAAATTCACTCAGGAGAAAAATCACATAGGTGTAATGTTTGTTACAAGTCATTCAGAGACAGTTTTACTCTACAGGGACACCTGAGAAGTCATACAGGTGAAAAACCATATACATGTGATGTTTGTAGTAAATCGTTCTCTGAAAATCGTTACCTTCATAATCACATGAAAACTCATAAAGGTGATAAACCTTATAAATGTGATGTTTGTGGTAAATCATTTACTAACAATCGTAATCGACAGAGACACGTGAGAAGTCATACAGATGGAAAATCATATCAATGTGATGTTTGTAGTAAATCATTTATTTACAAGCGTAATCAAGAGAGACACATGAAAATTCATAACTTATAAATGTGATGTTTGTGATAAGTCATTTACTAACAATCGTAATCGACAGAGACACGTGAGAAGTCATACAGATGGAAAATCATATCAATGTGATGTTTGTAGTAAATCATTTATTTACAAGCGTAATCAAGAGAGACACATGAAAATTCATAACTTATAAATGTGATGTTTGTGATAAGTCATTTAGTCCTAGTTGTGGTTTGCAGCAGCACTTGAGAAAACCATATAAGTGTGATGTTTGTAGTAAATCATTTTTACAGAATCACGTTTTACAGCAACAGAGTTCTAGTGTACTGCAGCACGCCCATCAACGATTATCCTATTTTTTATGCTGCCTACACCATTGATGCCTGTTTGCCATGTGCTGGCGAGTTAATGGAGGCACAACACGCGGTCGTCGCGCATACAAATGGGCTGCATGTAGCCGATTTCTAATCGTTTGGGGTGAACTTGGTACAAGTTTACAGAAAGCTGATTGGCCGTTTGTCCTTGAATTCGAGGGACTTAACGGTATGTACGAATGTATCGATCCTAGGCTTGTGTAGTGGCTCTAGGATGACCTGAACGAGGTCTATCATCAGTATTGTGTGTTTGTTGGTACCGGTTCCACAGTCTGCTGATCACAGACTGTGACACATTAAGCATGTTGGCTACTGCTCACTGTGTAGAACCAATTTAAGCATGCCAATAGCATGTAGACGTTCATTATGTTGGAGACATCTCATTGCAAATTAAACGTAACACACTAAAGCAAATATACGCTAAACAGTAAAGCTTATGCAAGAACCGATAGGAAAGCAAACATGGATAGATAAACCAGCACGCAGCAGTTTTCATCAACCCGTCCTCGAGTGTCAAATTTGACAATGAACCCCTCCCACGTGTATGGCGCCATTGCGTGTCGCATGTGCAGCTCAGTGGTTCTGTTGGGGCGATAAGTTCTTCATCTGTGAACATACTCTCAAAGCATGTCAAGTGTCCATGACTATTTATCATATCACAACCTGCATAGGTATTTGCATTTCAATATCCCCTACATTTTTTGAAGAGTATATTATAAGCTTAGTATAACTTTATGTAATATTTGAATCAAATGTTGTTTTTTTATTATATTAAATTGTAAAAATTGTAATCATTTTTGCTTGATAACAATCCCTGTATGTGTATTGAAACGTAGCATGTTAATAACATTCAGAAGTAGTATATCCATACAAGTATGTTTATTTTTAGTGAAATCTATTTCTATATGTCTTATAAGGATTATATTAAATTGTATTTAAATTTTTTTCTGCATTTAATTTGATTAGTTTGTTTATTCAATTTGAATTTGAATTGAAAATCTCATAGAACCTGATCCTAAACCAATCTAGCATGTACATTCTAGATATAAATATAGAGTATTGTAATATGACACAAACTAGGTCATTTCGGGACATATGGTTTTTAATTTTATTTCAATAATTCGCTTGTGCGTAGGGGTCTTTAGCAGTGGGAGGAAACCGGAGGACCCGGAGAAAACCCACGAGGTTGGAGACACTTATACAATACACCATCTGAATCAGATAATAATTGGGCTACAATTTATTGTCTTTTAGAAGTTTGGGACCATGTGGCTAAGTGGGTAAGGCGCTGGCTCGCTAGCCTGCAGGTCGGGTGTTCGATCCCTGCATTGGCCGAGAAAGTTCATCCAGATTTTCCGGCGTGGTTCCCCCTTGTCAGTGATGCAGGACGGAGGGTCTGACAAGGACAGCTGTCTAGTCCTTCGGATGATATGAAAACCGTGGTCCCATGTATACATTGGAATGCACGTAAAAGATCCCTTGGCAGTTGGAATTCGATATAAGAGTAGGCGATAGTGCCGCAGCCCGGGCAAAATTTCCCTCATAGCACACTGTATGGTGTATGCCCATCTTCATTAGTCCAGGTTAGGAGCAGAACAGTAAGACGTTAAACTCCATTTCATTTCATTTCTTTTAGAAGTTGACGACAGGATTCTCTTAAACAAATCTGTATTATCTATCGGGTCACATTCCTAAACTTGAAGAAATTGGGCAAATCATTTAATCTGGAGGCTCAGTGCGGAGGGGTGTCCATGAAATGGTCACAAAATGAGACCCAACTTTTCTAGAGTAAAATTTTGCGTAGAATACGATGCCGAGTGGTAATCAGTCCACCGTTGGAACGTTTTCTAGATATTCGGGTCAAAGGTCAAATGAGGTTATTTGCAGCCATTCTTGTATCACGAAAACATGCTGAAAATGAGCGAAGGTAACCAGCCTTTCAATAAAAATGTTAACTTGCTAAATTCGCCTTTGTTGTTTGTGACCTCGGAGGTCAAATTGTCTGTTTTTGCACTAGTAAGATTTAAAGAAATAATATATCGTTAATATAGCGTAAAATATAAAAACTAAAGCAAAACCTGTTCTAATTAATTTTTTCAGGGGGTCAACACGAATAATTCATTACCAAAAGATCTGTACATCAGATCGAAAATCATTAAAAATAATATGAGCACATACAAGTTCTCAATTGGGTTCGTCCTATCATCCTGACCCAAATGCTACACTTCAAATTTGAAATAGAATTCATTTGAATCTCTAGCATCTATCACATTCAAAATGTTTTCGGAAAAATGTGGGGGTGGGGTGAAAATGCTGCGTATCATTCCCCCATGACCAACACTTCCAATCGAATTTGAAAGCAATCTGTTAATGAAAATTATAGGCATTTGCAAAGTTAAGTGGGATGGGGGAGTCGCTGAATATCAATAGGCTTTACACAAAAATAAAAAAAACAACAAAAGGGGGTAAAACTCTGGTACGAAAGTTCACAGAAGGTTCACTATTGATAGCGATGGTCTCCTCATGTCAATGATACCAAAAAAGAACATAATCTGTCAGAAACTGTATAGCGTTCACAAGTCAATTGTTGACGTACAGACCGACGGACAGAATGACTACATGTACATAGAGCTGGGCGATATTTCGGTTTTTCAATGTAAATCCATCACAGAAACAAAAACCGCCAATATACTGTTGTCAGCAAAATATCCAAAAAACAATTTTTCTGGATAATATTTTGTGAAAATATGTTGTCATTTTTATTTAATGATAAATAAAAAGCCCTAAATGCTTATTTACATTTAAAAATGATAGACTAAAATTATCAACATTTTATAAAATATTACGATATAGTGATTATATCGCGATAATTTCTAAAAATGTTGTGATATTTGTTTCCAGGGATATCATCTACCTCTAGTGTCTAGAGCATCCACAAGATATTTCAAAGTGATCAAGGGCCATAACTCAATGAAAATCCACAGGCTTTTTCGTCTCATGACCTGAAACACTGTGGACAAATTTAAAATCACAAGATTTTATAGAGTGATCTTGGGCCATAACTCTGGCAGTAATTATCAGAAATTGTTGAAAATCAATAGGCTTCTTTACCCCATGACCTTAAGCACTGTGTATAAATTTAAAGTCAATCTGATATTTACTTGAGCCTCTAGAGTATCCACAAGCAATTGTGGATGCCTGCCGGATGGGGACGACGACAATTTATGACCACATTTCAATGTGGGCGTATAAATAACAAAATGAAATATACATCTGCATTTTAATCAAATTACTTCACACTAAATGTGAAAAGAAACATTACATTTATAATTTTCTCTGAATGATATAAAGTAGCTAGGTCTCTAAACTCAATATCATCCAAAACCTTCGACAATGAAAACACAAATTATTTGTCAATTTTAATCAACATTGGTGTTGTGATCTTACCGGAAAAAGATGGGATTCTGATATCCAATTGTTAAGACAGAATAAACATTTTATGATTGGTACACGAATCGTGTACCATAATGCGTTTCAGCGCAATTTGTAACAAGCGACTCGAAGAACGAGGTTAGACATATTCCACAAGTCATGTCAAACGGTGATCCGTGTCAATTTGTAGGTCCCAAATATTAGCGATTTAGCCCCTTTAATATAAATATCACACTTATAGTTCCAGATGATTTATTAGAAACATCACATTTATAAAGTTTCTTGTGTATGACTTCTCATGTGTCTCTGTGGACCAAAATGTTTTGTAAAATATTTATTACAAACATCATGTATGAGTTTTCATGTGTCTCTGTAGATTACGCGTGTCAGTAAACGATTTACTACAAACATCACAAGTATACGGTTTTTCACCTGTATGACTTCTCATGTGTCTCTGTAGACCAAACTTTTCTGTGAATGATTTATAACAAACATCACACCTATGTGATTTTTCTCCTGAGTGAATTTTCATGTGTCTTTGTAGATTACGCTTGTCAGTAAATGATTTACTACAAACATCACAGTGATAAGGTTTTTCACCTGTATGAATTGTAAGATGTTGCTTTAAATGATGACCATAATTAAATGACTTATTACAAACACCACAATGGAAGCGCTTCTCACCAGTATGAATGATCATGTGTTTCTGTAGAATACAACGGAGTGTGAATGACTTACCACAAACATCACATTCATATGAACTTTCTCCTGTATGAATTCTCCTGTGTCTCTGGAGATTACATCTATTATTGAATGATTTACTACAAACATCACATTTATAGGGTTTATTCCCAGTATGAATACTCATATGAAACTGCTGATTACGCCTGTTTGTAAATGATTTACTACAAACATCACATTCATATGAACTTTCTCCTGTATGAATTCTCCTGTGTCTCTGGAGATTACATCTATTATTGAATGATTTACTACAAACATCACATTTATAGGGTTTATTCCCAGTATGAATACTCATATGAAACTGCTGATTACGCCTGTTTGTAAATGATTTACTACAAACATCACATTTATACACTTTTGTTTCAGCTAATTGTAGGGCTACATCACTACCCTTATAGTCAGCTAATTGTAGGTCTACATTAATACCCTTACAGTTATCACTATAATTGCAAGCTTTCAACTGTTCTTCAACATGTAATGCACAGTGATTTTCTAAATCTGTTTCTAATTTAAATTCTTCATCACATAAATTACACTGATGAACTGTTTCAATATCTTCAGTTTTCACTTCTTGACAATATTTATCTGCGGCATCGGTTTTCTCTACTTTAACATGACAATATTCATCTACATCATCAGTTTTCTCTTCTTTAAAATGAACATAACAATATTCATCTGCATCATCCGTTTTCTCTTCTTTAACATGTATTTTATTGTGCTTTTCTAAATCATCAAGTTGTTGAAAAATCTCATCACATACAACACACTGATGGAATGTTTTAACATCATTAGTTTCCTGTAATATATAAATGTTATAACATCATTAGTATCCTGTAATATATAAAAGTTATAACATCATTAGAATCCTGTAATATATAAAAGTTATAACATCATTATAACATCAATAGAGAGAAAAATATGGTTTAACATCCACTCGACACAAACTAGGTCATTTCGGGACTAACATATGGTTTAATTTTATTTCAATAATTCGCTTGCGCATAGGGGTCTTTAGCAGTGGGAGGAAACCGGAGGACCCGGAGAAAACCGACGAGGTTGAACAGGCGACCCTACTCCTTGTCACGACAACCGGGGATTCGAAACCAAGCCAGTTGACTCAATGACAGGCCTTATGATAGAGCATGCACGTGCTAACCATTCGGCCATCCAACCCTCCTATAACATCAATAGTTTCCTGTAATATATAAAAGTTTTACATCATTCGAGTCCTGAATTGGTCTGCCATTATGAAACTCGCATTTGTGCAGACTGCAGGTTCGTGGCTAAATCACAAAATTCTACTGGAATTATATTAAATTTATGTCAGATGTGGCGAATAAAGAATAATCACGGTGAAAAAAAAATAGAAGGTAAGGATTTCAATATAGCAGGATTAGAGCGTGGATTCCCCTTGTCAGTGATGCAGGACGGAGGGCTTGACAAGGACAGCTGTCTAGTCATTCCGATGGGACGAAAAACCGAGGTCCCATGTGCACATTGGCGAGCACGTAAAAGATCCCTTGACAGTTAGAATTTGATATAAGAGTAGGTTGTAGTGCCGCTGCCCGGGCAAAATTTCCCTCATAAAACACTATGCCCGTCTTCATTAGCCAGGTTTAAGAGCAGAACAGTAGGACGTTAAACCCCATTTCATTTCATTCCATTTTTAAGAGGGGATTGGATAAAAAAACAAAAATATCAAATCTAACCATGTTGATTATTTATTTCTGTGTGACCTTGCCATTACTCTTCAATTTGAAGTCGCTTCAAAACGGTAAAAGGGGACGCCATGTTTTTGTTCTTCCGAGTCTACAGTATATCTTCCACCGAGTCAACGAATCATTCGTTACAGTAGGAAAGTCATCAAAAATGTTTCTTTTCACTTCTGATTGACATGACATTTCCCCGTCGGTGTTTAAAATCCGCTTCCGGTTTGCCATATTTAATGGTTTTATCTTGTTTTTAGACACAGATCAACGGAACACGAATAATTCATTACCAAAAGATCTGTGACAAGTCTGGTAGTTTTAATTTTCCCAGCAAAATTAAATGAAAATGAAATGAAATGAAATGGGGTTTAACGTCCTACTGTTCTGCTCCTAACCTGTGCTAATGAAGACGGGCATACGCCATTCAGTGTGCTATGAGGGAAATTTTGACCGGGCAACGGCACTATCGCCTACTCTTATATCGAATTCCAACTGCCAAGGGATCTTTTACGTGCATTCCAATGTATGCACGGGACCTCGGTTTTTCGTCTCATCCGAATGACTAGACAGCTGTCCTTGTCAGGCCCTTTGTCCTGCATCACTGACAAGGGGAAACCACGCCGGAAAATCTGGATAAACTTTCCCGGCCAATGCAGGGATCGAAGACCCGACCTCCAGGCTAGCGAGCCAGCGTCCTACCCACTTAGCCATGTGATCCCCAGCAAAATTAAAAGCCCAGATTTTTCACTAGATAGACAGAGAACAGGGAAATTCAACAGGGAAATTCAACAGGAATTATTCTCTCTGTTTCCATTGCTTCTCATTGAAGTAGAAAACAAATTTGTTAAACACTGCACGGTTTACAGGTAAGGCCACTACATGAGGATCTGACTGGTTGTAGTGGAAGGTCGCGTCAGGGGTCATAAGAGCGGCTTTTGACCCTATGATTAACCAATCAGCATTGGTGTTTCTACTTGGATACCCAAAGTTCCGTGCAACGCACGCCAAAAACTCTTCCAGGTCCAAGTGTAGTAAAGACAATTAAAAAGAAATTTTGAATAAAAAAAACCCCCAAAAAACGAAACGAAATAAGATCTGTGTTTTGATCAGATTAGTTTTGAAGCATGATTGTCCTTTTCGATATTCAACGTTCTGTAAAGAAATTGTATGTGCTGATATTATTTTTAACGATTTTCGACTTTAGGTCAAATACATTTATAGACGAGATATTTTGGTAATGAATTACTCGTGTTGAGTTGATCCGTGTCTATTATCAAGATAAAACCTTGAAACATGGAAAACCGAAATTGGATTTTATATTGCCGCAGAGAACTGAAATGGTTTATTTGTCCTGCTGTTCTGTGATACTAAGAAGTCAGAAGAAACATTTTTGGATGGCTTTCCGACTCTAACGAATGATTCGTCACGTCGTTGACTCCGTGGAAGATGAACTGTAGACTCGGTAAATCAACAAGGACCACCTGTTGTAAAGTGACTTGAAGAGTAATGCCAATGGCAAAGCGAAGCCAGCTTTATTCATCTCTTAAAGGGACAATAACACTCTTGCTGGCTTGAAAGCTCCAGAAAATAAATAATATCTCTATCTAAGTACTAGATGTTTAAGTGTCCTACCTGTTGTGTAAATTATCCATTACATCCTATTTTACTTGTCCAGAGGGTTCGAAAATATTTTTAAATCGAAGTTTCATTTGAAAAGGTTTACGTTAGACGTTTCAAACCATTATGTTGAATTTTTCAAAATTTTTAAATAAGGTGTGTTAAAATGAAATTTGTATCATCAATTAATTGGAATATTGTAAAATAGTACAATTTGTTGACCAGAATAAAGATTAGGACATATTATTCAGTTACAACTAGAGTGGTATTGAGCCTTTAAACTACAAAATTAACACCTTATACAAGAATAATCATCTGAATAAATAATCAACATGGTAAGATATGATATGATTTTTTTTTGGGGGGGGGGGTCAAATCCAATTTTAAAGGGTGATCTTAAAGATACTTTCTTGTGACCCAATATTCTATCTTATCTTTATTAAAGATACATTATGGGAGATTAGATAATGAGCTGGTAGTTCTCACAATAATAGTTAAAAACTATATAATGTAATGGGAATTTCCTGAAAATTTCAGTCAAATTGATCTGCGATTTTAGCGATTGAATTTTCGGCCTAACCTTGATCATCATTACTAAAATCGGTACGATAAAAAAACATAATCTCGATTATCCATTTCTTGATGAAATGTGATTCTAATCCAGTAAAAATCACAGGCTAGCATTGACATTGAGAGTTGATTATGGTCTGGATAAGTTAATTAATGTCTAATTAATAATTTATATAACATGTCAGGCCTAAAGAAAGACTAGTTCAGCTAAAGAAAGACCTGCAATCGGCAGATTTAGCCCTTGCATAATGTATGTTTACATTTCAAAAAAGTGTTGTTTATCCAAGTTTTTATGTCTGGAATACAAGTTTCAATATTCAGCTTTGAAAGTCACTTTTAATAGGTTTGAACAAAATGTACATTTGTGTATCGGGTGGTTGGATGGCCGAATGGTTAGCATGCGCGCGCTGTATCATACGGTCTGTCATTGAGTCTACTGGCGGGGTTTCGATTCCCCGGTTGTACGTGACAAGGAGTAGGGTCGCCTGTCCAACCTCTTGGGTTTTCTCCGGGTCCTCCGGTTTCCTCCCACTGCTAAAGACCCCTACCATTAAACCATATGTTAGTCCCGAAATGACCTAGTTTGTGTCGAGTGGATGTTAAATCCCATTTCTATCTATCTCTATCATTTGTGTATCATTCACATGCATACTATGAGGCCAAGTGGTTTAGTGTATAAGTTATACAAGATCGGTCCCAGAACGAAACCCCTTGAGGTACATCGAAAGTCACAACAGAAGCGCTGAAAGTAAAGGTGTAGGAAAAAACAGGGGAAAAATCTTGATTTCCGCCAATTTTTGAACCTCTGTATAAAACACTGGAATCACTTGTGTAGCTTTATAAATATTATTTTTGTCTTGTTCAAGTGGCAGGGGATCTTTAATGGTTTTTCGTCCCATCCAAACAAATATACATTATCCCTTGCCAGGAAACATTCTTATTAACCAGGAAACAACATTTAATTTCATGTATAACTTTTTTTCCATAAAAATAAAAAAGATTGAAAAAATAACCAAACAGTCACATTTGGAAGAGTTGTTATAAAACCCGTGTTCTGATTGATGTGAGGGATTAGCGAATGAAATGGTCTGTTACAGCAAGTTCTTGGTGGCGGTGCACGGATAATGATGTTATAACTTTTATATATTAGAGGAAACTAAGGATGTTATAACTTTTATATATTACAGGAGACTAATGATGTTACAACTTTTATATATTACAGGAAACTAATGTTGTTATAACTTTATATATTACAGGAAACTAATGACATTATAACTTTTATATATTACAGGAGACTAATGATGTTATAACTTTTATATTTTACAGGAAACTACGGATGTTATTATAACTTTTATATATTACAGGAGACTAATGATGTTATAACTTTTATATATTACAGGAAACTAATGACATTATAACTTTTATATATTACAGGAGACTAATGATGTTATAACTTTTATATATTACAGGCAACTAATGATGTTATAACTTTTATATTTTACAGGAAACTACGGATGTTATTATAACTTTTATATATTACAGGAGACTAATGATGTTATAACTTTTATATATTACAGGAAACTAATGATGTTATAACTTTTATATATTACAGGAAACTAATGGTGTTATAACTTTTATACATTACAGGAAACTAACAGTCTTATAACTTTTATATATTACAGGAAACTAATGATGATATAACTTTTATATATTACAGGAAACTAATGATGTTAAAACCTTTCATCAGTGTGTTGTATGTGATGAAATTTTCCAACAACTTGATGATTTAGAAAAACACAATAAAATACATGTTAAAGAAGAGAAAACTGATGACGTAGATGGATATTGTCTTGTTCATTTTAAAGAAGATAAAACTGATGATGTAGATGAATATTGTCATGTTAAAGAAGAGAAAACTGACGATGTTGATCGATATTGTCATGTTAAAGAAGAGAAAACAGATGATGTAGATGAATATTGTCAAGTTAAAGAAGAGAAAACTGAAGATATTGAACCAGTTCATCAGTGTAATTTATGTTATGAAGAATTTGAATCGGATGCTGATTTAGAGAAACATTGTAAAATACATGTTGAAGAAGAGTTGAAAGCTGATAATGGTATTAATGTAGGCCTGCAATCACCTGATGGTCAAGGTAGTGATGTAGGCCTACATTCAGCTGAAGCAAAAGAGTATAAATGTGATGTTTGTAGTAAATCATTCACTCACAAGCGTAATTTAAAGAGACACATGAAAAGTCATACAGGGGAAAAAACACATATGTGTGATGTTTGTTTTAAATCATTCACAGAAAAGTTTTGTCTACGGAGACACATGAAAATTCATACAGGTGAAAAACCATATTCATGTGATGTTTGTAGTAAATCGTTCACTGAAAATAATTACCTTCATAATCACATGAGGACGCATACAGGTGAAAAACCGTATACTTGTGATGTTTGTAGTAAATCGTTTACTGAAAATCGTTACCTTCAGCATCACATGAAAAGTCATACAGGTGTAAAACCTTATAAATGTAATGTTTGTAGTAAATCATTCACTGACAAGCGTAATCTACAGAGACACATGAGAAGTCATACAGGAGGGCAAAAACCGTATCCATGTGATGTTTGTAGTAAATCGTTTACTGACAAGCGTTATCTACAGAGACACATGAAAACTCATACATGATGTTTGTAATAAATCTTTTACAAAAAGAGACGCATACACAAGAAACTTTATAAAATGAAATGAAATGGGGTTTAACGTCCTACTGTTCTGCTCCTATACTGGGCTAATGAAGACGGGCATATACCATACAGTGTGCTATGAGGGAAATTTTGCCCGGACAGCGGCACTACGTTCTACTCTTATATCAAATTCCAACTGTCAAGGGATCTTTTACGTGCACGTTGATGTGTACACAGGACCTTGTTTTTTCTTTCCATCCGAACGACTAAACAGCTGTCCTCGTCGGACCTTCTTTCCTGCATCACTGACAAGGGGGAACCTGGATGAACTTTCTCGGCCAATGCAGGGATCGAACACCCGACCTCCAGGCTAGAGAGTCAACATCTTACCCACTTAGCCACCGTGTTCCCTCATGTTTGTAATAAATTGCTCACAGAAAATTATGAATGTGATGTTCTTGGAAAGAGACCTCATCAGGAAGTGCAAGTGACTATTTGCCTGATATTTAATTTGTGAGAGTAAAACATGTACAATTCTTTAAAGGAGCTAAAACTCTATTCTTTGGCATATAATAATAATGTAATATGAATGTACATGAACTGATTTACATTTAATCGTTTCTGTTTTTACTAATCTGTTATGTTCGGTGAAATACACAATGGGTCCAATTGAATCCAATCAAACAAAGCCACCTGGCAACAATGAGGCCGCCTTTTTTGATTTAGTTGCCTTGAATGAATCCCTTCTTTTTCAATTATTTATGTAATTTTAAGCTTAAAAGAGCAAAGACGCTAACTCAATATTTTCATTTTGATTATTTATGTAATTTTAAGCTTAAAGGGGCTGAGTCGCTAACTCAATATTACCATAATATTCGAAATTAAAAACATGAATTAGAATTCAATATTGATCAATTTTAATCAATATTGATGTTGTTATCATACAGTGAAACTATAAGATCCTAATATCTAATATTTAAGACACAATTAACATTTTATAATCAGTACACGAGTCGTGTAGCCTATCCTATAGTTTCTGAGGCCATTTTGAACTGAACAAATAAAATAATATCACAATCTGGAAGTAATTAGTATAGGCTGATTCACAAACGAAAAAATAATAATTTAAAAATGTGTAGAACTAGAATGCACTAAGCAGGTGTAAATGACTGCTGTTCAATTTGAACTGATCACATATTTCACCAAAGATAATTGAATGTAAATCACTTTATATATATTACATTAATATGTGCTTTTAGAACCATTTTTGTCTATTTCAAGGTTCCAAAAAAATAGAACAATACACCCTTTTGGCTTTAAGACTTGATGAACATGTTATAAAAGAGCTTTTGAAGTCATTTAATATTCTTTTGTGCTTTCTGATGTTTTTCTGATTGGTTGATTGTAAATACATTTACATTTTTGGAAGTTAATTAAACAAAATCTCATCTAGGCCTAAGCTGCCATTTCTCAGATTTCCTGATCTCTTCTGTAATTCTACTCTACTAGGAAAATTTTACTCAAGTAAGTCATCCAACCTCTCGAGTTTTCTCTGGGTTTTCCGATTTCCTCCCACTGCTAAAGATTCCTATGTGCTAGTGAAAAACTGAAATAAAACTGAACCATATTAGTCCCAAAATGACTTAGTTTGGTTTAAACAATATTTATTTACCATATATTACATACTATATACAATACATACTCCTCTACGGGGAGCTTTGTCAAGGAAAACGAAATGTCGGCCGACCGAAGAAGAGATTCCGGGACAATCTGAAAATGTCTCTAAAAGATTTTGCTATCAACTCAGAGACATGGGAACAGACGGCTGCGGACCGCCTTTCATGGCGCTCAACCATCTGCAGAGGGGCAAAGACAGCAGAAGACAGCCGAACGCACCTAGCCAGGCAGAAGCGGGAGGTGCGTAAAGCTTCGAACAACACAAACAAGTCCCCCTCTCACTTCTGCCAAATCTGTGGGAGAGGCTTCCTCGCCCGGATCGGCTTCGCCAGCCATCTCCGGGTCCATAACTGATGATGACGATGTGATTGTCAAATGGTCATCTTCGAAATCGAAGGACGAAACAACAACAACATATACAATACATAATAATTTATTTGGATTGGGAAACAAGCTATAAAGCTTATATTAATCCATCTCTAAAATAATAAAACAAAATAAAATAGAATTGGCATGTAATAATAAGTATAATATCGTGTCATTACTGTCACCGTGGCATCATTATGTTCATCGGGTGTCCTCATCCTCGGGCGAGGCGGCGGAGGGGGTCAGTTTAGGGTTTTTAATCGATTAAATCACTACTTTATCAGTTTGAATCGTTTTGTAGCACAAATATACGAATGAACAATTTCGAAACAGGCCTGGTTCTCACAATCATTTACGTTCGGGTTTCCGTCAAGAATTGCTTAGTTTGTGTTGAGTAGACATTAAAACCCCATTTTTTTCTCTGCACAAAGAAATGAAGAAATAATACTTGCTGATAGTATTTCGACTTTAGACTAACTAGATGTAGAGACATTTTGGTAATGAATTATTTATGTTGAGTTGATCCGTGTCTATAATCAAGATAAAACCTTGAAATATTGAAAACCGGAAGTGGATTGTATATATTACCGAGGATAAATGGGATAAATGAAAAGAGATGGGGTTTATTGTCGTACTGTTCTGCTCCGACTGTACCGGGGAGAAGTGTCTGTGTTACAAGAAAGAGAGAAGAAACTATTTTTGATGTCTTTCCTACTCTAAAGAATGATTCGTTGACTCGGCAGAAGATGAACTCATCAACATGGCGTAGACTTTTATTCTTGTAAATCGACTTGATGAGTATTGGCAAGGTCACGCCAGATTTATTCATCTCGTAAACTAGAAAATTAAAATACAAAAAATAATCAGCTGGATTCCACCAATTAATTGATAATCAACATGGTAAGATATGATATATATATATATTTTTTTTTTATCAAATTCACTTTTAAAGGGTGACCATAAAAGGGTTCAGTCATTTTATTTCACAGAGGTATTACGAAAGTCGTTTAATAATAACTCTGTAATTAACCTGTTAAGCGTGACGTTTTTAAAACTTAACTACCCCCTATTGTGTAATATCTTTGACGAAGTGACGAAGAACTGTGTACTATGTTCTAAGAATAGGTTGGGGAAAATACCAAGGCGTTATATTACGCCCTACACACAGTGAGTGGCAGTTGTCCAGGACGTAATATAACGTCCTAAACATGCTGCGATTGTGGGGAAAATACCTCCAAGGCGTTATATTATGCCCTACACACAGCGAGTGGCAGTTGTCCAGGAAGTTATATAACGACCTGAGCACTTAACAGGTTAAAGATGACTGGTTTTAACATATGACGTCAGATGGGATGTAGTCATAACGGCCCTATGACATAACGGCCAAAAACAGGTTTGGTCAAAACGGCCCTTTTTTAATCATAACGGCCAAACAGTTTGGTTATAACGGCCAAAAGATTTGGTCATAACGGCCAAACATTTCAATTTAATGAAAAACAAGATATAGTTGTTGTTTATTAGAGATTTAACGTCCAATAGGTTAGAAATGATAATATTATGGATAGGTTGATTTACAGAGTTTAAGGTCTTGAGATGAACAAGTATATTGATTTTCAATGAATTTTGATAACTAAACAGCTAAATCCATGATATTAAATGTTTTGTATACTAAATGTTAGCATGGGGCAGAAATTTATAAAAACCAAACAAATTCTAATGATTTTCTGATAATTACTTTATATGAGTTGTTACTCTTAATCAGATTTTAGTGTATTATAAATGTTTCATTATCGAAAAAAGTAAAAATATGCGACAACTCTTGTAGACTGCCCGGACGATTTAGCTGCTGTGGGCGTATGTTTCATTGCCTGGCAACCTATCTTTTATATTATATTAACATTAAATTCAGGAATAACTACACCTAATGCACTAAAGTAGTGAACCCAGTCAGTTTTGGGTCCTTCTGCTTTGGATCTAATTTCGTTTCCTGTATGCATATTATATCTATTTTGGATTAGCTAACAAGGTGGTTCAATTCTGTCATACGTGGTCTGAGCAAATATTATACTTATCTTTGATAAAAATAACAATTGACTTTTATCATTTGACAAAAATAACAATTCATGCGTCAGACAAAGGAAAGAGGTGAGTACTAATTGAATAATCCCTAATTAGGTACTTCACACCCTCTGATCAGTGATTAGGTAATAAAGGTAAAAAACTTTTGTGTTTTTAACAAGTGTATATAATTTAATTAAACCAACCTGTATTGGACGTTAAATCTTTAATAAACAACAACAAGCAATCCAATCGTTTTTTTTTTTTCATGTATTAAATTAATGTTTAGCTAATGTATGTATTTATATTATCTGTTAGGCAATATCTTTGTGAATAAATATCATTTCCTGCATGTAAAAAATGGTTTATATTTTCTTGGCCATTATGACTAAATTGTTTGGCCGTTTCGACTAAATATTTTGGCCGTTTCGACCAAATATATTGGCCGTTATGACCAAATTTTTTGGCCGTTATGGCTTAGGGCCGTTATGTCTATAACCCCGTCAGATCATGCGGCGTCAATCATTTTCTCAATGGCACATGCATTGTTTACATAAGACCTTACTGGTCTGGGCAGAATGGTGCCTTTTACTCATTTTACATACACATTTACACTAAATATTATTACTAAATAGGAAATATTTTTTACCTACGTATATTTCAAACACCTTTATTTATTTTTCTAATGCTTCAAAAAATGTTCTAGAATTTAATTTGCAGAAGGAAAAAAGTTAATATTGGGGTCTCATTAAGCCGCACCAATGTCATCCCTATCAGTGATTGTAGCAGCCTAGCGAAAATTCACTGCTGATCAGTGTGGATTCATGTAGGATATAATAAATTAAAACGATAGACTGATAATCAACTCAATTTTATGGTCGTACAGTGGTCCACAACCCCACATATTTGTGCTAATATAAGCTGACCATTTTTTCAGCCTGTTGCCGAAATGGGAAGAGTTCATTTGCAGGTTTGCTCTGGAAATTAATTGTACAAAATATATTTTTCGTAGTCTTGATTAACTAGACTTTTATGATTAAAATAGAATTAATAGTCATTTTTTACTCTGGTTTTTGGTCAGATTTAGGGGCAACAAGGCCAATGATGGGGCATCAAGGCCAAAAAGGTTAGAGGGGAAGGACACCGTTTCCAAAATGTTTTTTTTTTTCACTGGTTTCAATCAAGGACCAGGATGTTGTGTACAAAAGGGCTCTGCCACTAATCGTGTTTAGTGTGCTTATTGGGGGGGTCCCTGTTTTGCAAATGAAAAGTTAAGGGGCTACCGTACCCTCAATTTATGTTGGAATTGATGAAAAAAAAAGTAAATAAGATTTTTTTTAGAGGGTGCTACCGTATATCAAAATTCGAACAAAATGTGACTTTTTGGCATTTTTTAAATTTTTATACATGAAAATAAATAATAAATGTTGTTTCCTGGCTAATTAGAATGAGAACAAGACAAAAATAATATTTATAAAGCTACACAAGTGATTCGAGTGTTTTATACAGAGGTTCCAAATTTCGTGAAATCAAGGTTTTTCCATAAAATTGTACCCTTTACCAGGGCTTGACTTTTAGCCCTTCTGTTGTGACTTACGGTGTACCCCAACGGGTCAGTCCTCAAATCGATCTTGTTTATATGTAGCTTACTAAGCTACTTGGCCTCATAGTAAGACATCATGAATTATTATTTCGTCTACATGCGAATGATAAACCAATGTACATTTTGTTCAAACCTATTAAAAGAGATATGAAATGAAATGGGGTTTAACGCCCTACTGTTCTGCTCCTAAACTGGTCTAATGAAGACGGGTATAAGCCATACAGTGTGCTATGAGGGAAATTTTGCCCGGGCAGCGGCACTATGGCCTACTCTTATATCGAATTCAATCTACCAAGGGATCTTTTACGTGCACGCCAATGTGTACATGGGACCTCGGTTTTGTGTCCAATCTGAATGACTAGACAGCTGTCCTCGTCAGGTCCTCTGTCCTACATCACTGACAAGGGGACACCACGCCGGAAAATCAGGACGAACTTTCGCCGTCGATGCAGTGATCGAACACCAGACCTCCAGGCTAGCGTGCCAGCATCTTACCCACTTAGCCACCGTGATCCCCCTATTAAAAGAGACTTTCAAAGCTGAATATTGAAACTTGTATTGCCGACTTAAAAATTTGGATGAACAGCAATTTTTTTAAACTAGGGCTGTCATTTGATTCTAGTTTCAAGTATCGATTATCGCCGACCATCCTTCGATCAATAATCAATAATACCAGCAAATTTTGACTTACAATTGGTCTGAAAACAAACATAATTTGTACATGAATAACTAATTATATGCGAGTTTATGTTTTAATATCATTCTGCATACATGTAGAATTTGTTTCATTGATTTTTTTTTTCTAAACAATATTTATTCACAGAAACTGGATTGGAGAACAGGCAGAAAGAAGCCTATAGACCCCCTGTCATTGATTTGACAATAAAATAATTGCATTCCTTAGCAAAACCAAGTAGAGCTGGACGATATTTTGATTTTTCGATATAAAACCATCACAGAAATAAAAACCGTCAGAAATACCGTCTTCAGAAAAATATCGAAAAAAACGAACATACCGCGATAATTGCGGTTTGGATATTTGTGGATGATATTTAACTTATGTTGTAACAGGCGAGCCTACTCCTTGTCACGTACAACCGGGAAATCGAAACCACGCCAGTTGACTCAATGACAGACCTTATGATACAGCACACACGCACTAAACATTCGGCATCCAACCCACCGATAAAGGCGAGAGAACCTTTGTCAAAATGTCTCCAGAAGCCTCTGGTAGTGACGTCAGTAAACGTTAGCTTGGTCGGCCATATATTGATTTAATTATTAAATGGACGACTGTTTAAATCCAAGCTGTATCCACGCCATCCGAGGGTCTACAGAGTTGATTTTGAGCTTGTCATGTAAATAAAGGTTAATTAATAATTTCTGTAACATCTAAAAAAAGCAGATTTAGCTCTTGCATGATGTATTTTAATGATGTTTATAACTTTTATATATTACAGGAAGCTAATGATATTATAACTTTTATATATTACAGGAAACTAATGATGATAACACATTCCATCAGTGTGTTGTATGTGATGAGATTTTTCAACAACTAGATGATTTAAAACAACACAATAAAATACATGTTAAAGAAGAGAAAACTGATGATGTAGATGAATATTGTCATGTTCATTTTAAAGACGATAAAACTGATGTTGTACATGTAGATGAATATTGTCATGTTAAAAAAGAGAAAACTGAAGATATTGAAGCAGTTCATCAGTGTAATTTATGTGATGAAGAATTTAAATCGGATACTGATTTAGAGAAACATTGTAAAATACATGTTGAAGAAGAGTTGAAAGCTAATAATGATAGTGATGTAGGCCTACAATCAGCTGACTGTCAGGGTATTGATGTAGGCCTACAATCAGCTGACAGTCATGGTATTGATGTAGGCCTACAATCAGTTGACAGTCATGGTATTGATGTAGGCCTACAATCAGTTGACAGTCTTGGTATTGATGTAGGCCTACAATCAGCTGACAGTCATGCTGTAGCAAACGGCCATCAATGTGATGGTTGTAGTAAATCATTTACTCACAAGCGTAATCTACAGAGACACGTGAAAACTCATATATTAGAAAAAACTCATAGATGTAATGTTTGTTATAAATCGTTTACGGAAAATTGTGGTCTACGGAGACACATGAGAAGTCATACAGGTGAAAAACCATATTCATGTGATGTTTGTAGTAAATCATTCACTGAAAATCGTTACCTTCAGAAACACAGGAGGACACATACAGGTGAAAAACCATATTCATGTGATATTTGTAGTAAATCGTTTAATGAAAATCGTTACCTTCAGAATCACATGAGAAGTCATACAGGTGAAAAGCCATATCACTGTGATGTTTGTAGTAAATCATTTACCGACAAGTGTAATCTACAGAGACACCTGAGAATTCATACCGGTGAAAAACCTTATAACTGTGATGTTTGTAGTAAATCATTTAATCATAGCGGTAGTCTACGGCAACACATGCGGATTCATACAGGTGAAAAACCCTATAAATGTAATGTTTGTAGTAAATCATTTAGTGATAAGCGTAATCTACAGAGACACATGCAAACTCATGTACAGCGCTCACCGCGTCGATCTTCATTTCTGCCAATTGCGATGAAAATATAAGTTTTGCGATAAAATATTCAATCTGGCGAAATTTTTGTCGATAACTTTTTGGCGATTTTTTTTTTAACCATGGCGATAAATTTTTTTTGTCACAAAGCTTTGATTTCCATGCGGTGCATACAGGTTACAGTCTATTGTGCTTGGCTGAGTCAGTTATCAATCAATTTGGTATCAATAATAGGGCTATCTTTTTGTCTTTTAATCAATCTCGGATTAGTGTTTATAAATATTTAAAAGAGTAGCAATAAACTAATTAAGAGACAGAAGTTTGAAATATTTTTCTTCAAATATGAATTAGTGGCTTTTTTTATGGTTTCTATATATATTCAAAATGGCGGACACTGTGAGCAATACTCGTTCAATTTGTTTGGAATTATTCAATTATGATGTTTCTTACTCCTGTTGCCCGTGTCGTTAATAAATGAAGCCAGGTTTGTTGTTACAGTTTATAAATGCTTATATTCTTTGGGTTGTCAAAAGTCAGTTATCATCAAATTACATGCCATGGGTCGTGAACGAAAAATTGATCAGCCCTTGTCCATCTGATAATGTTGACACGATATCAACTTCTACAATAGGTCTGCATTTAGGCTACCTCAAAAGTTCGCGACAGAGAAAAGTTTTGAAAAACGTAAAAAAAATCTTAAAGGGGCATTATGGGAGATTAGATAAAGAGCTGGCAGTTCTCACTATAATAGTTAAAAAATAGATATGGTAAATAGAATATGCTGAAAATTGCCCTCAAATACAGATATTCATTCATTAAAAACAAATACACTGTGTAATTTAATGTTACCAAGTAATGGAAAAGTGGTTACCCCAGATGTTGAAAAAGCTTTTAAAAAAATGGGCCTCTGCAAAGCAGAGAAGAATTTTGTAAATTGTAATATCATATGTATATTGTATGAACTTATGTAAATAAAAATTACTGAAAAAATCTAACAGATATTTGTTCTTTTTTGGGGTGACGGAAAAAATATATGGCTTTTAAATTAAAATGAAAAATTGCCGGAAAAAAAATGAAACCCAGAGTTAGCACTGCTCATACGTGATGTTTGTAAAATATCTTTCACAAATGAGAAACTTTATAAATTTAATGAATCATTCACAGAGAGAAATGGAATAGGGTTTAACGTCCTACTGTTCTGCTCTGACCTGAGCTAATGAAGACTGGCATACAGTGTGCTATGAGGTAAATTTTGCCCAGACAGCAGCACTACGGCCTACTCTTACATCTAATTCCAACTGTCAATGTGTCCACAGGACCTCGTTTTTTCATCCCATCCGAATGACTAGACAGCTGTCCTTATCACGCCAGAAAATCTGGATGAACTTTCTCGGCCAATGCAGGGATTGAACACCTCTTAGCCACTGTGACCCCCATTCTGCTAAAAGATATTGGACAAAATATTCATCCCAAACTTAGGCTGCCTGTCTACAGCTAGCTTCGCCTGAGAACAGGCCCTAAGCTAATTACCCGATATTTTAATTTCTACATCGACGATTTTAGTTGCAAAACACTGAGTATGCTTTTAGTAATTTTTAGAAGTATTTATTTCTCTTCTATTGTCATATTGAATGAAATTAAGTGTTTATTTAGCCGCTGTGTGTATGAAAAATGTCCAACTAATCAAAGCCGAATCACAAAATAGTCCTCTAATTATTCAATATGGCAGCGCTCATAAAAGGTAATTTCCCAGAGGCGGTTTTGTTTGCGAAGACAAATTTAGAAGTATCTAACCTTGTTTTGAAAGATAAACAGATTGAAACTCTAAAGACAGTTTACAAGGGCAAAGAATGTATTGCAATATTACCCACTAGCAGTAGCACATATTACATATCACTTTTACCGGATTGGCAGAAGTTGACATTTTGCTAAAGACATGTGTTTACATTGGGTTATTTTTACACTGTTGTGTACACAAAGCTGTAGTCCAGTTGATAAGTCCCGCCCCAAAATGATCATGTGGGCGTTTTAAATGGCGGCAGTGATCGCTGCGTGCAGTTTGCAAAATATTCTGTAATTATTCTTTATCAAACTAATCTAGTCACACACATGAATAGTTTTTCTTTTTTGAATTAGAATGAATAAAAGTTCAAGAATTGATGTATTAATATTAAAAAAGGACTTCACTTCTTAGTCCCCAGGGAAGTCTTACAGTTACATCTTTGAAAGTTAATTAATCAAAGTCTTGTCTAGGCCTAAGCTGCAATTTGCCCTAGTTCTTGATCTCTTCTGTAATTTTACTCTACTAGGAAAATTCTGCTCGAATAAGTCAGTTACTCACCAAACTCAAACAGTCTCTTTTTGTTTGAGTAATGAAGTACTCACTCATGTTTCTTAGTGGACAGCACTGGGAAATCTAATATGTACATAATCTGATTAGATATGATTGGTCCCAGATATTAATACTCCAACTTCCTTTCTAGAGGAGGCGGCGGGGTTTGATCGCTGAATGGTTAGCACGTGCGGGCTGTATCATAAAGCCTGTCATTGAGTCAACTGGCGTGGTTTTGAATCCCCGGTTGTACGTGACAAGAAGTAGGGTCGCCTGTCCAACCGCGTGGGTTTTCTCCGGGTCCTCCGGTTTCCTCCCACTGCTAAAGACCCCTACGCGCAAGCGAATTATTGAAATAAAGTTGAACCGTATGTTAGTCCCGAAATGACCTAGTTTGTGTCGAGTGGACCTTAAACCCCATTTCTCTCTCTCTCTCTCTCTCCTTTCTAGAGTTACAAGACCAGACATTTCACAATGAAATGAAGATATCCTACGTGCTGATATTATTTTAAATGATTTTCGGCTTTAGGTCAACTAGATGTAGAGACATTTTTGTAATGAATTATTCGTGTTGAGTTGATCTGCGTCTATAATCAAGATAAAACCTTGAAATATAGGAAACCGGAAGTGGATGTCATATTACCTGGGAGAAGTGTTTGTGATACAAGAATTGAGAAGAAACATTTTTTGATGACTTTCCGACTCAAACGAATGATTCGTCACGTCGTTGACTCGGTGGAAGATGAACTGTAGACTCGGTAAATCAACAACATGGCGTTTACAGTTTTAAAGCGACTTGAACTGTAATGGCAAAGTCACGAAAGAATTATTCATCACTCAAACTATAAAATTAAAACCACATACAAAGAAGAATAATCATCTGTATAAATAATCAACATGGTAAGATATGATATAATTTTTTTTTTTTTTTTTTCCATCAAATCCACTCTTAAAGGGTTCATGTAGGGGGTATCCACACCACTCGGACCAAAGACCAGTTTGACCCCAAAAAAGACCAGTTTGACCAAAACAGAGACCACTCGGACCAACTTAAAAGACTACTTGGGCCAACCCAAAAGACCACTCTGACCAATTAATTTATATTGTAAGACCATTCGGACCAATATTTAACTTTGCTACTCGGACCAACCCAAAGTACCACTCGAACCAATTACATTATATTATAAGGCTTAGTTTAATCATTTTAGAAATAAAATACAGACAATAATTTACAGGTGATCATACACATAAGTTAACAAGCTACGGGTAAGTATATAACAGCAAATATTAAAACAACACTTTATTATTATTCCGAGTAGTCATATTATCTATTACTAGAAGAATGCCCGGCTTCGCTCGGGGGGTCATAACCCCGAAACTGGAAGTGGTAGACTAACGCCACCTGGCCTATGTTACTCCCCGGTCCGAGCTACCCCTATACCCCAAATTTCAGACTCGCGGCAGACCCCGAACAGACAGACAGACAGACAGACAAACGACAGTCACAAATATTAGTATAGATTTGTTTGGTCCGAGTAGTCTTTTTGTTTGGTCCAAGTGGTCTATCAATTGGTCCGAGTGGTCATGGATGTCATGTAGGGGCCCAGCTAAGAGCTGGAATTCACCGTAATTCACTTACAATCACCGCAATTCACTTACAATCACCGCAATTCAATTGAAAACATCAGAATTCACTTAGAAAACCCCTGATTTCTCCCAGAAAACTAATTTATTTTAAGTGTATAATACATTATAATATAATGAATAACTATCGAAAGTATAAAAAAATGAAATAGATCTGTATTTTAAACAGATTGACTTTTAGCCCTTCTATTGTGGTTTCTGGTGTACCCCAAAGGGTCAGACCTCGGACCGATCTTGTATAACTTATACACTTCACCACTTGGTCTCATAGTAAGACATCATAGATTATTTCATCTACGTGCGAATGATACACAATTGTACATTTCATTCAAACTTATTAACTTTCAAAGCTGAATATTGAAACTTGTATTGCAGACATAAAAATTTGGATGACCAACAAATTTGTTAAACTTAAAGATTTCAGCCGAATTACTTCATTCTGAGCCAAATTATCACTGTTTATTGTTTTGACAAGATGTGTGCATAGTGGTAATTAATTAGTGCACTGGTATATTCGCGACTTAGCCTAGCTTTCCCATTTTTAAATTAAATTTTTAAATGGCGAACCGTTCTAATCTAGTTAAAATCGCGAGTGTCCGATGCCATCGAGAGTTGATTATGGTCTTGTTTTGTTAATAAATATCTAATTAATAGTTTATATAACATTTCAGGCCTAAAGAAAGACCTGCAATAGGCAGATTTAGCTCTTGCATAATATATGTTTAATGCAGATAAGAGAGAATATTTGTTTATTTGGAATATTACTAGAACTCCACAGGAGCAATGGTGGCTTTCACGGTGAGCAGGTCTAGCATACTTGAAGACAATTTGTAACCGAGGTTAAGTTCGAGACAGAAGATGTAATTAGAATATACGCAAGTTCTCTAAGGCATCTCCTTAATTTCGTTTCGGTAGGTTACTCCACTGTTTCGATTGGATTTGGTTGATTACGGCGAAATAATACATCTTTGACAACGAAATATTATAATGGTGATAATATTGTGAATTGTTGGTATTTCCTCCTTTCAATATATCATTTGTTCATTATTCATTCTTTCATTTAAACATTTCTATTTGTCTTATGTTTCTATTAATCCTGCGTTGTTAATTAGACGTTAAGTTACTTATCTAATGACAGACAGTTGACAGCTGACACATTAATAGATTTAATTACTATCTTATTGTTTATTTTATTGTAATATCTTTTATATTTTAATCTTACCTCTTTAATTGTTATTAGTAGCATTGGTGTATATTGTTAATTCCTTAGATACCATTTTATTATAAATACCGATTTGTACATTGATATAGGATTCTAGGTTTCATCCCGTTTCTAGGACAGTTACTCTGCTTGTCGACGTGCTGTTCTCCATATATGATGTTAAATGTTTTCCGGTAATAAATAGTCTCAAGGATAGTTCCAGTCTTTAGTTATTATCGAAGATTTACACTGTTACAATATGCTGTTTTTAATTCTCGATCTCTTTTTCCAATTTTCACCAAAATAATGATAGTGACAAAGTTTCTAAATTCAACAGTTTTTAACTGCTATCTGTTCAGCAATGTCTCTGGCTATCCAAAAATGTAACTATCTAAGAAATCGATTGAACATTAAAGACTTACTGATTTACATCTTTTCCAGTCTGTTCACACCTTTCGCAAATACTTCTACATGAAAGTGCTAACTGTTGACAACTTTCATCAGGAAAAATCTATCACTTCTTACAGTTTCTGAGATCTACGAGAAAAAAAGAATAGTTTTGCGAAAGGGTCGAAAAGTAGTATCAATTTACGGTTGTCTGTAGCATTCTAATAAACAACATCGGTTTTTTTATTAATGTAGGTGGAGTTGGGGGCGCGAGGGGTTGGATGGCCGAATAGACAACACATGTTCCGGGTCCTTCGTTTTCCTCCCATTGCTAAAGACCCCTACGCGCAATCGTAATAAAGTTAAACCATATGTTAGTCCCGAAATGACTAACATGTGTCGAGTGGACGTTAAACCCCATTTGTCTCTCTCTCTTTAATAACGTAAGGAGACATTTTGGTTATAAATAGCTTCAGCGAAGTGCTTTTTATTTTTATAGATGATTTATTTGGCTTTCAAATGATATAATCGTAACTGTCCAATAAATCGTAAAAATAACCCTGCTGTTTTCAATTTCTCTCTGTGATATTTCAGACTGTTGTACAAAGGTTTCATATTGGACTCTCTATAGAAGAAGGTGAAAAAATTTTTATAGGTGGACTATTTGTTTGGCTTTCAAATGATATTATACTTTAAATGTCCAATAAATAGTAAATTGATACATCACAAGTTTCACACGTGCACCCATTTTCCAGAATTTTGTCAAAAAGTTGAGACATACTTTGTGACTACTTCTGGTCAATAGAGAACCTCAGAAATATATTAAAGTAGTAGTTCAGACGTCCCTCTTCATAATACTGAAGTTTCAGAAAGGATTTAGTTGGATTTGAAAAGTTATTAAATTTTGACTAAAACTCGAAAAATCGCAAAAAATCGACAAAGTTCAATATCAGAATTTCACAGCAAAACTTGTATCGTTGGAATCGGATAGACGTCAGCTATCCAAAATGTAATCAGAATTTTAAAATTCCAAGAAATAAAATTTTCACCCAAAAAATGAGAACGATAAATTTGATCTGCTATCTGCTAGGAAATGTCTCCGGTTAACCAAAAATTTCGTTTTACATAAGCACTAACTGCACCACACTTTCAGATAAAAAAATCAAACTTCAAACTAGTTGCTGAGAAAGAGGTTCCCCCAATAAAGAAAAAATAAGAATAATCTTAGTAATAACAATAGTCTTTCACTATTTCATGGTGAAGGCTAATAACTTTTATATATTACAGGATACTAATGATGTTATAACTTTTATATATTACAGGAAACTAATGATGTAATAACTTTTATATATTACAGGAGACTAATGATGTTATAACTTTTATATATTACAGGAGACTAATGATGTTATAACTTTTATATATTACAGGAAACTAATGATGTTATAACTTTTATATATTACAGGAAACTAATGATGTTAAAACATTTCATCAGTGTGTTGTATGTGATGAGATTTTCCAACAACATGATGATTTAGAAAAACACAATAAAATACATGTTAAAGAAGAGAAAACTGATGATGTAGATGAATATGGTCATGTTAAAAAAGAGAAAACTGATGATGTAGATGAATATTGTGATGTTCATTTTAAAGAAGAGAAAACTGATGATGTAGATGAATATTGTCATGTTAAAGAAGAGAAAACTGACGATGTTGATCGATATTGTCATGTTAAAGAAGAGAAAACAGATGATGTAGATGAATATTGTCATGTTAAAGAAGAGAAAACTGAAGATATTGAAACAGTTCATCAGTGTAAATTATGTGATGAAGAATTTAAATCTGACACTGATTTAGAGAAACATTGTAAAATACATGTTGAAGAAGAGTTGAAAGCTGATAATGATAGTGATGTAGCTGACTGTATGGTTAATGATGTAGCCCTACAATTAGCCAACAGGCATTCTGAAGCAAAAGCTAATAAATGTGATGTTTGTTGTAAATCATTTACAAAGGGGTGTAATCTACAGAGACACAAAATAATTCATACAGGAAAAAGACCATATGAATGTGATGTTTGTGGTAAGTCATTCACACTCCGTTGTATTCTACAGAAACACATGGTCATTCATACTGGTGAGAAGCGCTTCCATTGTGGTGTTTGTAATAAGTCATTTAATTATGGTCATCATTTAAAGCAACATCTTACAATTCATACAGGTGAAAAACCTTATCACTGTGATGTTTGTAGTAGATTATTCACACGGTCGCAAGCTCTAGAACAACACAGGAGAATTCATACTGGTGAAAAACCCTATAAGTGTGATGTTTGTAGTAAATCATTTAGTCAGAGTCGTACTCTACGGAAACACCTGAGAATTCATACAGGTGAAAAACCCTATAACTGTGATGTTTGTAGTAAATCGTTCTCTCAACATAGCAGCCTACAGAAACACAAAAGAATTCATACGGGTGAAAAACCTTATAAGTGTGATGTTTGTAGTAAATCATTTAGTAACAGTTGTGATCAACAGAAACATATCAGAATTCATACTGGTGAAAAATCCTATAACTGTGATGTTTGTAGTAAATCATTCACTCACAAGCGTAATTTACAGAGACACATGAGAAGTCATACAGGTGAAAAAACTCATATGTGTAATGTTTGTTTTAAATCATTCACAGAAAATTTTGGTCTACAGAGACACATGAGAAGTCATACAGGTGAAAAACCATATTCATGTGATGTTTGTAGAAAATCGTTCACTGAAAATCGTAACCTTCAGAAACACATGAGAAGTCATACAGGTGAAAAACCGTATACTTGTGATGTTTGTAGTAAATCGTTCACTGAAAATCGTAACCTTCAGAAACACATGAGAAGTCATACAGGAAAAACTTTATAAATGTGAGGGGGGTTGGATGGCGCACTGTATCATAAGGTCTGTCATTGAGTCAACTGGCCTGGTTTCGATTCCCCGGATTTCAGTGACAAGGATTTGGGTCGCCTGTCCAACCTTGTCAGTTTTCTCCGGGTACTCCAGTTTCCTCCCACTGCTAAAGACCACTACGTGCAAGCGAATTATTGAAATAAAATTGAACCATGTGTTTGTTCTAAAATGACCTGGTTTGTGTCGAGTGGACGTTAAACACCATTTCTGTCTGTCTCTCTTATAAATGTATTGTTTGTAGTAAATATATGTCTATACTATTACTAATAAACTTCCTTAGTACCATATATGTACATGTATAATTGTGTTACTACATTTATAAACATCATTAATATTCATAAGTACCATATATGCATAATTGTGTTACTACATTTATACACATCATTAATATTCATTAATACCTTATATGTATAATTCTTCACATTTCATTAGTTAGTAATAAAAGCTAAGACGCATCTTTAATATTCATGTGTTCCATCAATACCTTACATGTAAATGTATAATCTTATACACATCATTAATATTCATTAGTTCTATCACTACCTTATATGTATAATCTTATAAACATCATTAATATTCATGAATTCCATCATCACTGCCTTATATGTATAATCTTATACACATCATTAATATTCATTAGTTCCATCACTGCTTTATATGTATAATCTTATACACATCATTAATATTCATGAATTCCATCATCACTGCCTTATATGTATAATCTTATACACATCATTAATATTCGTTAGTTCCGTCAGTACTTATATGGAGTTGTCTTTTATGGAACTGGACAGTTCGTTGATTATAAGGGTACCAAAGAGAGATCTTGGAGGGTTGTATCGCCCACTTTTATAATCATCTCATTCTCACAATCTTTATGGACGAAAAGGCTCAAATCCAACGGGGTGAGGGTGGGGGGGGTGGATGGCCGAAGGGTTAACGTGTGTGCGCTGTATCATAAGGTCTGTCATTGAGTCAACTGGCATGGTTTCGATTCCCCGGTTGTACATGAGAACGAATCAATAGGGTCATCTGTCCAACCTTGTGAGATTTTTCCGGTCCTCCAGCTTCCTCCCACTGCTAAAGACCTCAACCCGCAACCTACAATGTAATTATTCAAATAAAATTGAACCATATGTAAGTCCCGAAATAATCTAGTTTGTGGCAAGTGGATGTTAAACCCCATTTTTTTTCTCTCTCTCTCTCTTTTAAATATGCATTATGAAGAGGTAAATCTGCCTATTGCAAGTCTTTCTTCAGGCCTAAAATGTTATATAAACTATTAATTAGACATTAGTTAACTTTATTTAGTGGATTGGAATACATTTTGTAAAGGACAATTGTGAAGTTTTCATCATATTCTATTTACATTATCTATTTTTTAACTATCATAGTGAGAACTGTTAACTCTTCATCTAATCTCCCATAATGCCAATTAAATCTCACTGTCGTGTGTGCTTGCCGCTTAATGTAAAAGGAATGATTCTGTAATAAAAATACAGCCGCTAAATATACCCCAACAATCTTTTTTTTTCTTTTTAAAAATTAGTTCCTGTGTATATTTTTGTACACTAACAACGATAATGAAATCCTGTGCCACCAAGACCCCTATCTCCAATATCATTTGATAATGATTTTACTTTTAACAAAAGGGTATATTGCTAAATATCGGCAACAGCCATGGGAACAGAATTTACCCTCATCTATTTAAAGTAGCTGAGTAAATATCATCCAAAACCTTTGACATTGAAAACAAATATTATTTGTCAATTTAATTCAACATTGATGTTGTTATCTTTCCGGGAAAAGATGGGCTTCTATTATCTAATGTTTAAGACAAAATAAACATTTTACCATTGGTGTACCATAATGCATTTCAGCGCCATTTGTAACAAGGGACAAGAAAGAACAAGGCTAGACATTCCCCAAATCATGTCTTATCTGGATAGCATGCGCAATAGACTGGAATAACCAGACACTAGAGATTGCCACTCAATTGAGACTTCTGGTGTATCTCCCTGAATATAACTGATTTGAAATTAGAGTAAAAATGAAAACAATTGAATAAAAATCAGTTTATATACATTCATAGTACATGTACATTATTATGTGCGTTGCGACCCATTTGTGTCCATTTCTAGGTCCCAAATATTAGCTATTTTGCTCTTTAAATGTTTTCATGACAGAATGGGAATACAAATGAGGTTTTCTATATCCTCTAAAACCTTTGTTCTATGGGTGTTGGAGGGTTGAAATGAAATGAAATGAAATGGGGTTTAACGTCCTACTGTTCTGCTCCTTTGCTGGGCTAATTGAAGACGGGCATACGCCATACAGTGTGCTATGAGGGAAATTTTGCCCGGGCAGCGGCACTATCGCCTACTCTTATATCGAATTCCAACTGCCAGGGGATCTTTTACGTGCATTCCAATGTATACACGGGACCTCGGTTTTTTGTCTCATCCGAAGAACTAGACAGCAGTCCTTGTCAGGCCCTCCGGTCTGCACCACTGACAAGGGGAAACCACGTCGGAAAATCCTGATGAACTTTCTCGGCCAATGCAGGGATCGAACACCTGACCTCCAGGCTAGCGAGCCAGTGTTGGAGGGTTGAGAGATGGAGGGTCTAGTTAAATTATAAGGTTTGTCATTGGTTCAAGTGGTGTGGTTTCATTTCCTCGCTTGTACGTGACAAGGGGCAGGTTTTCTCCGGGATCCTCCCACTGCAAGTGAATTATTGAAATAAAATAAGACCTAGTTTGTGTCGAGTGGAAGTTAAATTCCATTTCTCTAGTGCTGGATATTGCCACTGCAGGCACGATACGATACGTATTGCGATTCAGGATAAATGAATAATTGATATTTTTAGTCCTGCCGATGTCAAAGAAATAAAACTGTTTTATATCACGATATTGATGTAGATCAAACTAAGGACCAAAACAATTCAAGAGTTTGTGTACCTGTTGTTAATGTGTGATATGGATAATTAAGAAAGACAGGTTACACATACTGAAGCGACAAAAAAAAAAAAAAAAAAACACATAAAAAAATAAATCGCAATAACCTTTTCTAGATGTGATTGCAGACAGAGGTCAAAACTCTAGAACAACTTAAAGCGACTTATACTTTTAAGCTGCATGGTAGCAGCGGTGTCTTCATGGGACCTTGTTAATGCAAAAGAAAGAGAGAAGGTCATAATTTGAACAGATTTGTGTCAGCAGTTGTTGATTAATTGGAAACAGGAAAAGGGTACGGCAACACTCCCTTAGAGAGGAATTATAGCTGGACAGGCGGGTACATCTGCGAGGTGACTGGATCAAAAAATGATACCGGCGGGGCGGAGTAGAGAATAGAATTAAAGAATCCCCGCTCAACAGAAAAAGGGTATTGCACCCGAAACGTTGATCTATTAAAACGATCCTCTGCTTCTACAAGTCTGTTATGGTTTTCTGTTGAGCGGGGATTCTTTAATTCTTGTTGATTAATTAAAATATACACCTGGAAAAAAACTAGACCCCCCCCCACACATTCTGTCCCATCCTCTAATCCCTGTCCCACCCCACACTCCACCGCCATTAATGTGTGCCTGCTACTGAAGTGTTGGTAATTTTGCTATTAATAATTCCTGGTATTATATATATGAGTTTCAGCAGTAAAAACAAACACATTCTCTCTCCACCGCTATTGCAGTGTTGGTAACTTTGCAATTAATAATTTGTTGTAATAATAATTCGTGTTAATATATATATGAATTTAATCAGTAAAAACAACAAATTACGTTACTCGTGGTTTAATAGTGAAATTTCCACGGAACCAATGGCACTGTGGTAAAAAGAACATAACATTTGGAGTATTGAGTTGCAGCATTCATTAAGCAGGTCCAAGTGGCTCAGAATTTTCTGCCATGGTTTCTCTAAGTCAGTGGTGCAAGGGAGGGCATCAGATAAATAACCTGTCTAATCGTGCGGATGATACAAAAAAACCTCTGAAGTCCCATGTACAAATTGGCATGCACATACATGTAAAATAACCCTTCACAATTGGAATTCGAAATACGAGTTGGCCTAAGAGACATCCAGGCAAAAATACCGCCTCCATCCCCCACACTGTACGATGTATGTCCGTCTTCATTAGCCCAGTCGGTGCAGAAAAGTAGGACAGACCCCAAGAAATGGACACTGACCGACTACATGTATATACACTGGAATGATTCTGATATGGAATTAGAGGATCCGAGCACGAATATGAAAAGAGACGAAGAATTCAATCCTGGTCTGGTTGGCGAACATACACTTTGCAGAAAGATTTATAATATAAAACCATTCCTTGTTTTCGTCGACATGTCAATTTAAAGCACTATGTCCTCCTTCGTCAGGCTTGAAAGATAATCATCAAGTTACTAAGCATTAATACTCACGTGGAGAGCTGTCTAGTCATTCGGATGGTACGGAAAACCAAGGTCCTGTGCATACATTGGCGTGCACATAAAGATCCCTTAGCAGTTGGAATTCGATATTAGAGTAGGCCATAGTGCCGCTGCTCGGGCAAAATTTCCCTCATAGCACACTGCATGGTGTATGCCGTTCTTCATTAGCCCAGTAGGAGTAGAACAATAGGACGTTAAACCCCATTTCATTTAATAATCAGGTGTCTGTTAATGATGATAATAATAAAAGATGATGATTATGTATGAATTTATTCCTGTATACAGTTTACAAAGCAATAACAATTAACCATCATGATTAATTAATCAATATTTACATTTTTTGCACATATGAACATAGCCTAACAAACATCAATTTACAATATTGATATCCTTGTTGTGTAAATGTAAGGAATTACAGTAAACTTCACATAAGTCAGGTATAAACGGACTGGACAAGTTAGCCGAAGACCGAAATTCAATCTTAGCCCGATTAAAAACAGACTGCAAGAGCTGGATAATAATTGATTCAAAGGCACATTTCAAGCTTTTGTTCATGTGTGCGAGTAGATAACTTCTGTTTTGTCGCCATCTTTGAAAAATGTCCTAAATTTTCCCGGAAAGTGTCTTGTACATCAGACAGCTAGTTTCGAATTTTCCCGGAAACATTTAATATTGTGTCGTGTCAGATAGACTGATTTGAGTGAAAATGATAGAGTGAAGTATTTGGGGGGTCTGTGAATGGAATACCTAACCGAGATTTAGACCATCGGTATGAAACTGGCTTAGTCAAATTCTGAACATTCTGAACTCGGGGGTGGGGGGAGTGGGGTTGTCATTGAGAAAATCATTGCCTTATACCACACATTGAACCCAATCGTCCTCGCTTTATAGTGAGTCTTTTTCTTATGTTTGAAGGGGGGTTGGATGGCTTAGTGGTTAGCATGTGCGCGCTGTATCATTAAGTCTGTCATTGAGTCAACTGGCATGGTTTCAAATCCCCGGTTGTACGTGACAAGGGGTAGGGTCGCCTGTCCAACCTCGTGGGTTTTCTCCGGGTCCTCCAGTTTCCTCCCACTGCTAAAGACCCCTACGTGCAAGCGAATTATTGAAATAAAATTAAACCATAAGTTAGTCCCGAAATGACCTAGTTTGTGTCGAGTTGACGTTAAACCCCATTTCTCTCTCTAATCATTGAACTCAGTCAAGGCGTTCAACTTATGAACATCTTCATCAAGTTCAAATTAAAAGCAGAGTGTTGTGTACCAAAGTCTTGACCAATCAAATTGCTTATCGCTACTTAGCCTAAGTGAAAATGCTCATTATCGAAGTTAGTCACGGTATTGATGTAAAGAAAGTATACACCAAGTTTCATCACTCACTTAATTAGTTAGAACTGAAGTTATTGTGTCCCAAAGCATCAACCAATCAAATTGCGTATCTCTGCTTACCCTAAGCCAAAAATGCTCATCTTCGAACTCCATAAAGGCATTCACCTAATAAACACCTACACCAAGTTTGAACTTTTCAGCTCAATTTGAAGGAGAGTTATAAAGTGTCCCAAAAGGAGTGACGGACAGACAGACAGTTGGACTGCCGAGGCCCCATTTTAATAGTCCCCTGCTTTCTTTAGGTGGGGGACAATAAAACCTACATGTACAACTAAGATAAAAAAAATTATTATTTTTTTTTTCAGCCCACGAAAACAGGACGAACGAGGAGCATAGTACAAAGGAGATTGGTCATCGAGGGAGAATGAGCTTAATGTCCACTTGACACAAACTAGGTCATTTCGGGGTTAACATATGGTTTAATTTGATCATAGGGGTATTTAGCAGTGGGGGGAAACCGGAGAAAATCCACGAGGTTGGACTGACGACACTACTCCTTCTCACATACATGTACAAGCGGGGAATCAAAACCACGCCACTTGACTCGATCACAGACCTTGGGATTTCACAAGTTTAACCGCTAGACCATCTAACTCCCTGAAAGAAGGAAATAAATGGGGGGGGGGGGATAGAATGGTGGGTATTACAGTCTATTTATGAAAAATTTTGATGTGTTTTTGTAGATAAAAATTATTTTTAAACGATTTTCTACATCTGTCACAATTAGCAGGAATGTCTACGGTATGAATTTTCACATGTCTGTTGAGATGGACTTTATGACTAAAGGATTTCCTACAAACATTACACTGATAGGGTTTTTCCCCACTATGACGACTCACGTGGATATCCAAGCTATCTTTTCTTATAAACGTAGCATTGCATACCTCACATTCATACGGTTTGTCTTCGCTGTGAGTCCGGGCATGGCGTACAAGATCACATTTCCTATTGAACTCCTTCTCGCAAACTTCACATTGATAGGGTTTGAGTCCGGTGTGCTTGATCATGTGAACTTTAAGACTAGGAGGATACGTGAAGGACTCGCCACAGAACTTGCATTTAAATGGTTTCTCCCCCGTGTGACTCCGATTGTGTTGTAACAGGTACGACTGTCGAGTGAATGACTTACCACATACATCACATTTGTAGGGTTTTTGTCCCATATGTGTTTTATCGTGTCGCAATTTATCGCTGTTCTTAGCAAATCTCATTCCACATTTATCGCATTTAAATGGTTGCACGCCTGTATGATGCCACATGTGTGCCGTTAACTGACTCTCCAAGGTAAACGATTTACTACAAACATCACATTTAATGAGACGAGAATGGATTACCTTGTGTTTAGTTAGATTACCAACATGATTAAATGATTTACTACAAACATCACATTGATAACGTTTTTCACCCGTATGAATTCTTAGATGTGATCGAAGCGTTCCTTTCTCCGTGAAACATTTATTACAAAAATCACATTGGAAAGGTTTTAATCCCGTATGAATTCTCATGTGGCTTTGTAGACACGTACCCACATTGAATGATTTATCACAAACATCAAATTTATAAGGTTTTTCACCGGTATGAATTCTCATATGTCTTTGAAGATTACAATTCTGTATAAATGATTTACCACAAACATCACATTCAAATGCCTTTTCTCCCTGATGAATTTTCTGGTGCTGGTTTCGACTTGAATTTAAGGAAAATGATTTATTACAAAAATCGCATTTATATGGTTTGTCCCCGATGTGATTCTGGATGTGTCTTTGTAGATGATTATAGGAATCAAAGGTTTTACCACAAAATACACAAATACATATCTTTGTACTTTCACTTTCAGTTGATTGTAGGCCTACATCAATAGCCTGACTGTCAGCTGATTGTAGGCCTATATCACTATCCTTACTGTCAGCTACATCACTACCATCACAAGCTTCTGAATCATGTATCTTACAATGACTCTCTAAATCAGTGTCGAATTTAAATTTCTCTTCGCATAAATTACACTGATAAACTAGTTCAATATCTTCAGTTTTCTCTTCTTTAACATGACAATATTCATCAACATCATCAGTTTTCTCTTTCTTAACATGTACTTCACAATGTTTCTGTAAATCAGCATTTGATTTAAATATTTCATCACACAAATTACAAATGTAACACTGATGAAATACTACGTTTTTGTCCAGTTTTTTTTTTTCTTCTTTAACATGTATTTTATTGTGTTGTTCTAAATCATCATGTTGTTCAAAAATCTCATCACAAACAACACATTGATGAAATGTTTTAACATCATTTGTTTCCTGTAATATATAAAAATTATAACATCATTAGCTTCCTGTAATATATAAAAATTAAAACATCATTACCAACATTAGTTCCCTGTAATATATAAAAAATGTTATAACATCATTTGTTTCCTGTAATATACATGTATGAAGCAAATGAAATGCTACGGCCTACTCTTATATCCCTAGGGATCTTTTACATGCACAGGACCTTGTTTTTTCATCCCATCCCAACAACTAGACAGCTATCTTTGTCAGGCCGTCGGTCCTGCAATATGGACAAGGGGGAAGCACGTTGAAAAATCCCAATGAGCTTTCTCTGCAAATGCAAGGATGGACCACTCGACACCTTTATTAGCGAGTCAACATCCTACCCGCTGAGCCACGTGGCTTCCCAATACATGTATGCTACATGCATTTATAATGAAATTAGGTTTGTCATGTGAAACTAAAGGCATCCAATCATAGCTAAAAACTTAACACACCACTATATCACAATTTTTAGCTACATGTAGGTTCTCAAAGCTAAATTAGGGTGTCAAAGGATTGTGTTGTAGATAATTTTTATACTAAGAAAAATGTATTTGCAAATTAATGGGAGGGGATAATAATAAAATGCAATAAATGCAAATCTATTATATAAATATAAAGTCTTACCATTTTGGACAATGGACACTACTGTACTGTAAAGTTTTATTTGGTTACTTATATGAATTTGATAGATATTCCTCTGAATTTCAGGCAGAGAAAAAGTCACTCAAAAAATACTTAAATCTAGTCTCTTTGCCTTGAACTCTTTTACGTTCCCAATTTTTTGTTTAGTTAAATTTAAAACTTTCTGCCACCGATAAGACAAACTTTGTGAGACACACACAAACTGGAAGTAGATTTGAAAAGGTAATATCCGTCCGCTGTACATTTCGACGGAAGTAACCTATTAACTCTGTTATCCTTCCGCGTTCAAATTAAGAAATAGTCACCAAAACCTTGCAAAAAATGTAAATTCAAACTCTTTTCTATGCTTTCACGCAACATTATGAGCAAAAATGACAATATTGAAGAGCAAAAAGAGATATAGACTATACATAGAAGGAACTACTCGTGGTCTCAGGTCGATTTCATTCCCAAGCGTCTTTTATGGTTATATTTATTTTAGACGTGGATCAACCAAACACGAGTAATTCATAATTATGCATCCAATAAGGTTTCGGCTGCTTAGCCCGAAGTACCCATTTTCACTCGATTGTCACTATTTTTGGGATTAAGAGAATTCAATTCCGGAACGTCCAATCGAGTACGCCCCATGTATTTTGAATAAAGCAACACATTATTATTATCTAATGGTTAATATTCCCTAAATATACCTGCTAAAATAGTTCTAAAACCCTGCCCCCACCCCCGCAAATAAATGGAAGATCAAAGCAAGAAAGACAACTCTCATGAGGTTTTATATAATGAAAACATTTCTTTCAGAAATAAAAACATTACATTTACATTTCATCAGAAACATAGAACGAAAAACAAATCTAGAACCTATACCATAACCTTGGAAATATCTCTATGACAATAAGAGCTGTCTTTATTGCTTAATTTAATCTTTCATTTAATTACGTTTTGCTTTTCAGAATTATTTAAAAAATTGGAAAGTTTAGGGAATATTAATCATCTATACATTTAAAAAGACAGAAAAAAACCAATAAAAATGTGTTGTTTTATTAAAAAACCCCAGGGTGTTTTGGTTAATTAAAGGTGTTTGGGTTGTTTTGGGTAAATCTATGGACCCCTTACAATTGTAATTTACAATATTATGAAAGTTCAATCTCCAAAAGGAATATGTGAAAAAATGGTTCAATTCCGTTTAGTGTCAAAAAAAGCCAGTGGACATCTTTCTAATTAGATTTAAAATATAAAATGTTAAATTATCAATGTATTTGCCGTGACAAATGTGATATATTTTGTAAAATAAGGGGATAATATTAATTAAAGGGGCATTATGTAAGATTTAGATAAAAAATTGACACTTTTCACTATCATAGGGTGACCCATGTACTCACAGAAATACAGTCCACCGCTGATAGTTCGAGACTACCACTGAAGCGTGCACATTCGCCGTGCCGAGACCAACTTTCTGACAGTATGATACTATAAATAGCCATGGCACGTGCAATTCTCTACAAATCTATCAACTATTACAGCCGTAAAAAAATTATTGTTGACGATTTTGAATAGCAGTAAAATTAAGCTTCTTGGTTATTACAGCAGATTTAGAAATTACGTTCGTTTCATTTTTTAAATCGCTTTATCATTAACTGTACCGTTAAGAGCGGCATCTTTTGGTTTAGTACAAATAATATCTCTGAATCACTCGGGTTAGACAGGAACATGATACTAGCAGTAGTTTCATTTTACTTTTACAAGCTTCTTAAAACGATTGTTGAGCTACCTAACGTGCTTATTTCTAAATTCAGACGTAGAATGGTCGATAGACTGGTTAAGCGAGACTAATTCCAAAACAAGGGCACGTAACCTATCTTTCACTCAAAAGTGTCTGGATGTTATGGACGACACATGGAACCAGTTTTCAGTCTATTATTTATACATGATTAATGGTCATAGCTTATTAAGTACAACATGATCGTTTATTTAGTGACTATAATTGTGTGAAACTGATTTGAGGCTTGGCATATATATAAATATTGTGGCGTAATTGTCGAGATATATGGAGATATATGGAGATATTTATTTATGGTGGGTCACCCTAACTATCATAATTAAAAACTAGATAATGAAAAGGCAATATCTTGAAAATTTCAGTCAAATTACTTCACTCTGAGCCGATACAATTACAGTGTAGCCTTGATTGTCATTCCTACCGTTGTTACGATAATAAACAAAGTCTCAATAATCCACAGTCGTGTTTAAATCCATTTTAAGGTTAAATCATGAACCCTAAGCTGTATTTAAATCTATTGTATATAATAAAAAGTGGAGGGTCCAAGTGTAGGGTGGTCCAACTCTGCCAAATGTGATTTGAAGTCATAACAAGGTAGTAGTAGTAGTTAGTTGTATTTTACGTCCGCTTCCACAAGTCATAACAAGGGACATGTATGTGTATTACATGAGTTATGTCCCTTGGTTATGACTTTCAAACTTGCTTGGAAATCGCATTTTAAATTAAAAGAGAGAAAAATGAGGTTTAATGTTCACTGAACACAAACTAGGTTCAGTTTTATTTCAATAATTCGCTTGTGGGTACTGGTCTTCAGCAATGGGAGGACCCAGAGAAAATCCAAAAGGTTGGACAGACGACCCTTGTCCTTTGTCACATACAGAGAGAGAGAGAGAGAGAGAGAGATAAATGGGGTTTAACGTCCACTCGACACAAACTAGGTCTTTTCGGGACTAACACATGGTTCAATTTTATTTTCATAATTCGCTTGCGTGTAGGGGTCTTTAGCAGTGGGAGAAAACCGTAGGACCCGGAGAAAACCCACGAAGTTGGACAGGCGACCCTACTGCTTGTTAGTCACGTACAATCTGGGAATCGAAACCACATCACTTGACGCTCCCCGCCCTCCACACCTTTCAGTTGGGAGCACAACAGTAGTTGGGCTATGAGAGAGAGAGAAATGGGGTTTAACATCCACTCGACACAAACTAGGTCATTTCGGGACTAACATATGGTTCAAATTTTATTTCAATAAATCGCTTGGGCGTAGGGGTCTTTAGCAGTGGGAGGGAACCGGAGGAAAACCCACAAGGTTGGACAGGCGGCCCTACTTCTTGTCCCGTACAACCGGGGAATCAAAACCACGTCAGTAGACTCAATGATAAACTTTGTGATTCAACGCGCACACGCTAACCGTTCGGCCACCAAACCCCCTGTGCAATGAGGGAACACTTACATCGAATTCCAACTACCAAGGGAATTTTACGTGCACACCAATGACTACACAGGACCTTGGTTTTTTGACCCATCCTAATGACTAGACAGCTGTCCTTGTCAGGCCCTGTCCTGCACCCCTGACAAGGGGGAAACAGCGCTGGAAAATCCCTATGAACTTTCTTGGCCCTCACCAGGAGTGAACCCGCGACCTCCAGGCTAGCGAACCAGCATCTTACTCACTAAACCACCGTGGCTCTCTATCAACTGGGAAGAAGGTTGGACCTATATTGGTTTCATTTGAGGGGGGTTTTATGGCTGAATGGTTAGCATGTGCGCACAGTATCATAAAGTCTTTCATTGAGTCAACTGGCATGGTTTTGATTCCCCGGTTGTACGTGACAAGGAGTAAGGTCGCCTGTCCAACCTCGTGGGTTTTCTCTGGGTCCTCCGGTTTCCTCCCACTGCTAAAGACCCCTATGCGCAAGCGAATTATGGAAACAAAATTGAACCATATGTCCTGAAATGAACTAGTTTGTGTCGAGTGGACGTTAAACCCCATTCTGCCTCTCTCTGCTTTCATCTGCTAGCTCGGAAAAATAATACTAAATGTACTTTATATCTTTATTATCTTTATCAATAACAATTTTCAAGTATAAAAAGTATTTATAAGAAAACATACAAATAAATAATTTGATAGGTTGCCAGGCAACAGAACAGCTAAATGGTCTGAGCAGTGGACAAAGTTTTAACTTATATCAATTTAATACAGATCCATGATAGCTTTTGTTGTTTTAGTGCTCACTAGAGTCTACAAAGTTAAACAAGGGCCATAACCCTAAAAGTTATGAACAGAAATTGATGAAATTTAACAGGTTTCTTCGTTTTACTCATAGCACACAGTATGGCGTATGCCCGTCTTCATTAGCCCAGGTTAGGAGCAGAACAGTAGGACGTTAAACCCCATTTCATTTCATTTCATTTCATTTTACTAGTACACACAGCTGGCAACTGGATCCATTTACTTGATATGATACATGTACATGTATATGTTAGACAGGCAACCCTACTCCTCGTCACATACAACACTTGGTTTGATACATTAGACAGGCAACCCTATTCCTTGTCACATACAACACTTGATTTGATACATTAGACAGGCAACCCTATTCCTCGTCACATACAACACTTGATTTGATACATTAGACAGGCAACCCTACTCCATGTCACATACAACACTTGATTTGATACATTAGACAGGCAACCCTACTCCATGTCACATACAACACTTGGTTTGATACGTTAGACAGGCAACCCCATTCCTTGTCACATACAACACTTGGTTTGATACATTAGACAGGCAACCCTACTCCATGTCACATACAACACTTGATTTGATACATTAGACAGGCAACCCTACTCCTCGTCACATACAACACTTTATTTGATACATTAGACAGGCAACCCTACTCCATGTCACATACAACACTTGATTTGATACATTAGACAGGCAACCCTACTCCTTGTCACATACAACACTTGATTTGATATTGGTTGTTTATTTTTTGCATTTCTATGTAGTTTTTCTTGTCTGCAGATAAAAATGAAAGCTTTTTAAATTCAGATAATTGTTACTCTTAGATGATCCATAAACCAATAAAACACAATGTGTTTTACAATCATTGGCAATAATACACAAAGTTAGGCTCCGTTACGAGCTAAAACAGATTTCATCCAAGATCTGTGGAATATAAACATATATTTATAAGTTTCATCAAAATTGGATAAAAATTTTGTCAATCAACAAATGTAAATGGACGGACAGGGGCAACAGCTTATTTTAAACACGCTACATAATATATATTTAGAAATGCCGACAATTATTTGGATTGGAATAATGATAGCAAAAGGGGGCTGCCATTTGGGAAACATCTTCATTAAGTGATGGAAAATTATCTGAAATATAACCAAGGGGGCTGCTTAATATAAACACAATGTAAAATCCCAGTTGATATTTCGAAGACATTATATAAAGGAAATAAAATGAAATAGGGTTTAACGTCCTACTGTTCTGCTCCGACTGGGCTAATGGAGATGGACATACGCCATACAGTGTCATATGAGGGAAATTTTGCCTGGACAGCGGCACTATCGCCTACTCTTATATCGAATTTCAACTATCCAGGGATCTTTTACGTGCATGCCAATGTGTATACGGGACCTCGGTTTTCCATCCCATCCGAATGACTAGACAGTTGTTCTTGTCAGGCCCTCAGTCCTGCATCACTGACAAGGGGGAAAATCTGGATGAACTTTCTCAGCCAATGCAGGGATCGAACACCCGACCTCCAGGCTAGCGAGCCACACTTAGCCACCGTGATCCCCAGACATTATATATAGTTGAAAATAAAATGGCAACACTTAAAATTACTGCGACCCATTCTACGAAGACCTAAACATCAAAACCCTAAAAAAAAAAGAAGCTAATTCATGATCCCTAAAATTCTGTAACAAAATGTCATAGTTTATAATGCACCGTGTAAATATCCCTGTTTTACATGTACATGTATATTCTTGTCCCTGATGTAAATAAAGTTTATCTTTACAAAACTAATAGTCTGTTGTTATACACTGATCAGATATTTTCCTTAAATTTACAAATCATGCATTATTACTTAAAGCCAAGTCAAGTTAAAGGGTCCACAGTTCTGATGATTTTGAAGAGTATTTCCTTTATGTTTACTGTGTAGTTGAACTAAATCGCGAAGAATTGACAGAAGTTTAAGATTCACTGAGTCTTCAACCTTAACGTAGGCATCCAGCGTTTGTTCGTCGGATCCACCCACTATCCATGCAATAGTATTATATAATGGTATAGGTATCAACGATTTACAGTCATCCGATGAGAGGGGAGGTCTGGTCCCGTTATAAACAGTTGATTTACAGTCATCCGATAAGAGGGGAGGCAAGGCCCCGTTATAAACAGTCGATTTACAGTCAACAGACGAGAGGCGAGATCTGGTCCCGTTATAAACAGACGATTCACAGTCATTAGATAAGATAGGAGGTCTGGCCCCGTTATAAACAGTTGTTTTTGGAAACTCATTTCTTAAAGTTATTGCAGACGTATACAGGAGGTACTGTAAATCATTATCTAAGGGATTAGACTTCGTAGACGACGCACAAAATGGAAGAGATTCAGAACTAGATGATTTTGTTTCTATTGTTTCCCTAGAATTTTCACAAAATGGAAGAGATTCGGAACTAGATGATTTTGTTTCCCAAGAATTTTCATAGGATGAAACAAATTCTGAAGTAGATGATTCGGTCTCTGTTGATTCCGTCGGTGAAGACTCTGAAGGATACGTGTCTTCCACAAATACTATCTCACTCTTTAAATCATACGTCAGCTGACAAAACTCAAGTTGGGGAAATTTCACTCGAAGACGACTTTTTAAGTTTGATGATCTGAAGAGTAAAGAGAGAGAGTGAAATGGGGTTTAATTTCGGAACTAACACATGGTTCAATTCTATTTCAATAATTCACTGCCGCATAGAGGTCTTTAGCTGTGAGAGGAAACAGAACTAACAGAGAAAACCGAAGAGGTTGGACAGGCGACCTTACTTCTTGTCATGTAATAGCAGGGAGTCGAAACCACACCCATTGACTCAATGACAGGTCTTGTGCCCCCCATACCCCTTGAAAAGTAAGCATTATGACACTAATCTGAAGTGAATGATGAGAGAAATTATCTAGACAGCAATAGAATTCCAACTGTTAGGGGTTCTTTAACATGCACGTCAACCTGTACATAAGATCTCTGGTTTCAGTTCTATCCGAACGACTAGGTGCAGTCATCTCCATGGGAATTCTGTTTTTTCGCACCATCTGAACGACTTTACATTGTTCCCTTGCCAGGACACACCGTCCAGCATCACTTATGGGGGGGGGGGAGAAATGGGGTTTAATGTCCACTCGACACAAGCTAGGTCATTTCGGGACTACCATATGGTTCAATTTTATTTCAATAATTCACTTGTGCCTAGGGGTCTTTAGCATTGGGAGGAAACTGGAGAACCCAGAGAAAACCCACGAGGTTGGACAGGCGACCCTACTCCTTGTCACGTACAAGCAACTTACAAATGGGAACCATATAGGAAAATCCAGATGAACTTTCTCAGTCAATGCAAGGATCGAACACGGGACCCCCAGGTTAGCGCGCTAACGCCTTATTAACTGAGCCACCGCAAAGACGAAACAAGATAAACAAACCTGTAATCGAAAGCATCGAGATCTTCAACTTTATCAACATATGATTTGAAGACAGCCAGAAGTTTGGACATATATAGTATCTCGTTATCATTAATAATTTTCTTGGTGATTATTTCACTTGAAAACTTCTCGAAAGCTTTCTTATACATGTACAACTGGTTGTCACTGTCATTCCTGTAATGATAAATATAAATAAAATTAAACGTCCGGCTTTTTGGGCTAACGAAGATGGGTATAATAGATGCTTCGACAAGTTTTTACTAACAGTAACACAACGACCTAGTCTTAATTCGATTGTCAGCTGTCAAGGGTTCTTAAGACCAACAGTTATAATTGTTGACAATTGGAGATGTATATATTTAACTGTAGCGAAGCAGAATTTTAATAGGTTTACAGGTTTTATTATGTCAAGTAATATAGTGTACTAGAAGAATGCCCGGCTTCGCTCCGGGGTCATAACCCCGAAACCGGAAGTGGTAGACTAACGCCACCTGGCCTATGTTACTCCCCAGTCCGAGCTACCCCTATACCCCAAATTTCAGACTCGGGGCAGACCTAATGTAGCCGCCAACCCCGAACAGACAGACAAACGAATATTAGTATAGATTGAGTAAGTGCACCTTTAAACTAACACTAATTTTTTTTGCAACTGGTCTATAATAACATCTCTCCTTTAACCTGTGCTATTTTCTTAGAGCCTAAATCTTGGGGCGAGTTCAATTCTACTTCCTTGGTTACAAGCAAGTTTTCTTTTTAACTAAACCTCACTTTAGACATCAGACTTTAGATAGATTTTGATATGTAAGGACATATTTTAACATGTAATACTATTAGCAAGCTTGATGATAAATTTATAAAACATGTGTGTTTATGTTATTAAATTTCAAAACGTAGCAAAAGAATATGCAAAAGAATATGCAAAAGAATATGTAAATAAATATGCAAATAAATATGCAAATAAATATGCAAATAAATATGCAAATGATTATGCAAATGATTATGCAAATGATTATGCAAATGGGTATGCAAATGGATATGCAAATGAATATGCAAATGAATATGCTGTATTTACAAACAGACAGGGTTCTTTATGTGCACCCCATCATGTATATGGATTCGGTTTTTCATCCGTTCCGGATAAAGAGACATAAATGACATGAGGAAACCATGTTGGGATCAAACCCAGTACCTCCTGTTAAGTGAAAGATTTATAAAACAAATACCTGTATCATTAACAATTTATAAACAAATACCTGTATCATTAACAATTTATATACCCGTACCTGTATCATTAACAATTTAAAGTGAATGATTTATGTACTGGTACCTGTATCAAAATGAAATGAAATGGAGTTTAACGTCCTACTGTTCTGCTCCTATACTGGGCTAATGAAGAAGGCATACACCATACAGTCTGCTATGAGGGAAATTTTGCCTGGACAGCAGTGCTAGGCCTACTCTTATATCGAATTCCAACTGTCAAGGGATCTTTTACGTGCCTGTCAATTAGTATACAAGTTTTTCATCTCATCTAAACGATTATACATGGTCCTTTGCAAGGGTAAAAACACAAAAGATTGAATGTAATTCAGTTTATATACATTCATGTAACATTACCATATGCACTGCGACCCATTTGTGTCAATTTCTAGCGATTTAGCTCCTTTAATTAATACATGTACTTACAAATCACAGAGTTTCTTTGAAAGATGGGAAGTAAAATGGCCGAATGGTTAGCATGTGCGTGCTGTATCACAAGGTCTGTCATTGAGTCAACTGACGTGGTTTCGATTCCCTGGTTGTACGTGACAAGGAGTAGGGTCACTTGTCCAACCTCGTGGGTTTTCTCTGGGTCCTCCCACTGCTAAAGACCCTTACACGCAAGCGAATTATTGAAATAAAATTGAACCATGAGTTAGTCCCGAAATGACCTAGTTTGTGTTGAGTGGACATTAAACCCCATTTCTCTGTCTCTCTTCTATGAAAGAAATTTAACATACCTTAGACCTTTTCTCCTCATAAATCTGAAGCACCAGGAAGGATTACCGGTGAAATCTTCAACGCCGAGATCGGTGGCAATCTCTTGTGCTTTTAAACGTAACTTTCCGGTGTTCAAACCCTTATTGGCAGCACGTTGTGACAAGACATATTCTTCCAGCTTGTCTTCTAGGTCACCCCATCTAGCTTTACAGCCTCTATTAGCTTTCTTCGTCTTCTTTGTCTGTCTCAACGCCTCCTTCGCTTTTCTCCAGTCTCTAACACACTTTTCACTCACTCCATACATTCTATGTGCTGCCATGTTGCCATCATTCTCTTCAGCATAGTTCACCACTTCTAGCTTAAAAGCTGCAGTATAGGAATTGCGTTTCTTTGCGGAAGGCATTTTGTAAATATGACTGAAAAGTATTTAAAACATCTTATTTATATACGTTCGGATTTATTTTGAAAAGTGCACACATGCTTTTGATTTCATTACTTTGAACTTGATCAGTTTTGCCAACTTCGATATATGTGTTTTAATAGCATGTGATCTGGTAAACTGTATATCCATGGGTAGATAACAAACCATAATCTCTCAACCCTCCGTGTTTCGAGATAAGACATGAGCCCATTACCTATAACGTTGCAGCTGCGGGAGTGATTCACACCCGGCATTTTTAAACAAAATTGACAATAGTTTTAATCAAAACAACGATTGATTATTGTTATTTACAATATTTCTATAACACCCAACTACAATTAAGCATATAATCCTACCTGAAACGGGTACAAATTGTCGTTTTTTAAATCGAGGTGTTAAGCTGTTACTAAGACCGCCATCTTTTTAAACGATACGCTGTCATCATGAAGGCGGGGCTAAATATAAGGCTTTTATAACAGCCAATCAAAAAGACAATCGAAAGCACAGTAACTATGAATGGATTTCGATGGCGGTGAAATGTCAGACAAAAACAACGCTTCATTAATTTAAACGCGAATATTTGGAGTTAGGCGACAGTTGTGCCACTACATTGGCCTCTGTAAGTTTAATTAATCATAATTATCATAAACTTATCTATTTTAAAGATGATACATGCATTAATATAGAAATTGAGTTTGCCACTTGGAACTAAAGGCATCCAATCGTAGCTAAAAACAAACACATCAGTATATCTCAACGTTAGAACGTAGCTAATCCATGGGGTGTGTGTGTGTGTGTGTGTTGGGGGCCGTAAACAAATCCAGGATGTTTGAGAATCAGATCTAGCTAGGACAGATTTTTCTTTGATGACATAATGACAGTGGTTGGGTTCTTTTGTTTATTCTTTATTTAAATACGGTAAGCTAATTTCCTCCAATAAAACATCGGATTACACGGCTTAGTAACTTAAGTAGCTACCCCAGAGTAACCTCAAGATTCTTCAAGCCGTATTAAGTTCTAAAGTTCTAATCCAATAAGTTAGATGTTACTCTTTGATATTCTGACTACGTGACATCAAGCATTTACATTCGAACAGTCAAAAGCTCGTCGTGAAAGTTGATAACCAGTTTACTTCTATCAGCGGACAGTAAAATTCACAATTTGAACTGCTAACGCATTAAACTTACGTATCATATCCACCTATTTTCCACAAAATCTTCTATGCTTCCTATTTAAAGAGATTTCACAAAAAATCTTCGACGATAACAAACAACAAACGGTGAAACCGCAAATGACCTATATTGGCGAGAGGTGAAGGCTGGCAAGATGGCGTGTCAGTTAAGTCGTCTACAAGCTAAAGTGGTCTATAGTTAAGTCGTCCACAGCAACTAGTCAAGTCGTCCACAAGGCATTAACGATGTCGTCCACAGACACAACTAATACTTGACTCGTCCACAACTAATGGTTAAGTCGTCACAACCAATACTTGACTCGTACACACTTTAATTGTATGGAAGAAATAGGCCTATCTTGTAGGCCTACTCGTTGACTGTTTTGTTCTTTGATTTTAGATCGAATCATCGATGTTTTTAAATAAGGTATATTCGTATTGTTTGTTAATTGTATGGGAGAAATCACTTTCACGCCTTAGTCCTTGATTATTTTGACGTTAGACCGGCGGTTCACCGATGTTTTGTTTAGTAATTGGCAGTATTATTTTAGGGTTTGTTTTTTTGTTTAACCTCCACTATTCCCACATCTGATTGTTTTGATAAAGGATTAGGAGGTTACTGAACTTGTGGGTGTAGGGATATAGTCTGTTCTAATTAATTAATTAGTGTCACTACTCACTGATGTAAACTTCCTACTCCAATTAAATTAGTGTCACTGGTGAACAATTCCCATTATTAGTAGAAGGGCAAATTGGTGGCATCAGTTTACTTATAAATTTGAATTGCGGGCTGTTTTGATATAATAATTAATTTGAAATATAAACTGTTAAAGAGCCCTATGCGCAGGCGAATTACTGAAATAAAATTGAACCATGCGTTAGTCCCAAAATGACCTAGTTTGTGTGGAGTGGAGTTAAACTCCATTTCTTCCCCCCCCCCCTCTCTCTCTCCAGTTGGTAAAAGTCCAAGAACCTTCAAAACACAACAAATAGACAATTGTTCATCTTTTGGGTCGAAAATAATTCAAAACTTCTCTTTAAGGAAATTAAAAATGTCTGGTAATTTCCCTGCCACACTAATCTCGTGTTGACCCTTATTGACATTAGTCGAGAGTTGAAATATACAAATATGAAGGTAAAGTGAGTCTCAAGTTTGGGCGATGAGAAATGAAATGAAATGTGGTTTTATGGCATGTCAGCAACCACCGGGCTATGTTAACGCCGAACATAATGGTGATTTATGTGAGATTAGTTAAATAAATATCACAGAAAAAGTATTATATGCAAAAATAAAAACAATATCACAGTAAATAAAATTAAAAATGAAATAAATATTTTATGCATATAAATATTTAAAATAAAAAAAATGAAATGGTCAATATACAATTAAAATTTATGATATTTATTTATTTTTCAAGTAAAGGTTACAACATGACAACAATAAATATATATATGCATATGAAATAAGAACTATGTGCTGTATTGTATGATTGGGATGTGAAATGAGACGGAAATAGAGAAATATGACAGGTATGGTGTCATGAAGAGACCTTTACTTAGGATAGCCCATAAAGCCTGACATATATAACATCCGTTGCTTATTTCCAATGGGGTCCAAAAAAGCGCGTCTACAGCACCCGGTGTTCCCAGGCGGTCACCCATCCAAGTACTGACAGGACCTGACGTTGTTTAACTTCAGTGATCGAACGAGAACTGGTGCCTTCAACGTGGTATGGCCGTAGACACATGTCTTTTGTTAAAAATTCTAGTATATTATCATATTACCATATAAACCCAGTTGGGGAAATAGATGATGTAGAGAGTTGGGCGATGGGTTTCAGAGGTCAACTTCATCATAATAAACGGATGTGTTTTGCCATTTTGCACACAGAAATCCATCTACTTCATACTTGGAGAATAGACCTCTGTCCTAAATGGCCGCCATATGCCAAATTTAGTTTACTGTTTTGTAATGCGGTTCTACTCCGTTTCACATCTGTCATTCACACAGAGACTAAATAAACTCTTTCAATTTTATTAAATGCAAGCAGAATAAATACTTAAAATTCTCTAAGTATACTTCGTGTTTTCGACTAAAATCGTAGATTTAGGACTTAAAATGTCAGTCAACTAGCTTAGTGACCGTTCTCAAGCGGAGCTAAATGTAGGCAGACAGCCTAAGTTTAGTATGGTGCTTTGCGTCTGCGCCATGGCCATTATATAAAAGCCTCAATCTTCCTCTCTTTAAAAAACACAACACAATTTATATGGAAAACAATCACTGGTTTATACACATATAGCACGACGTTTCGACAATTATTCTCTTATCGTTATCAAGTACAAATGATAAATTAGTAAACTAAAAAGTAGAGAGAGAGAAATGGGGTTTAACGTCCACTCGACACAAATTAGGTCATTTCGGGATGAACATATGGTTTAAAATTATTTCAATAATTCACTTGCGTGTAGGGGTCTTTCGCAGTGGGAGGAAACAAAACCGGAGGACCCGGAGAAAACCCACGAGGTTGGACAGGCGACCCTACTCCTTGTCACGTACAACCGGGGATTCGAAATCACGCCAGTTGACTCAATGACAGGCCGTATGATACAGCACGCACGTGTTAACCATTCGGCCACCCAACCCCCCAAAATAAAAAGTAATATTTATAGTCCATAGAAGCCATAAGACCTATGTTGTACTTGATAACGATAAGAGAATACTTGTCGAAACGTCGTGCTATATGAGTATAAACCAGTGATTGTATTCCATATAAATTGTGTTGTGTTTTTTTAATGTGCTCAATCACTAAATGCGACAATTTCATATTTTTAAAATGTATTTTAAAAAAGCCTTAAAATAGATGGTATCTATAAACAGTCCTACCTTGTTAAAGAATAATCCTATAATTCACTATTACTAGTTGAGAAATTGGCAAAAATATCATTTTCAACTTCAAATTTAAACGTTTGAAGATAGCTATTCTATGGGGGGGGGGGGGTAGAAAAACAAGGGAGGTCATTGTGTTAATATTTCCGGGGTGAATGAGATGTAAGTGTGAGAATGATATCTATGATCGTACAGTAGAGTTGACAACCTATTGAGCAAAAGACACAGAAATAATTATATTTTGACTTTCTTAGAAACTATGAAATTCTCGCTTTAAGGATTATACTTTCCCTCTTTCATTTCTCAGATATTATTGACATGAAGGGGCGAATCAAAGTGGGAGGAAACCGGAAGACCCGAATGTATAAATCTTCCCCTCTTTCATTTCTCAGCTATTACTGACATGTAGGACGAATCGATATGTTCGAACTGCTTTTCATCATTTAGGAAAAAGGGGGATAATAGATATCATCGTGTTTCATTAGAAAATGTTTTACAGTTTTCCGATGGGAGTGCAATGAAATAATTGTGTGAAATTGGTGATGTGAACTTGACACCAGTTAAAAATAAAAGACTGGCAAATTCACAGGAAAGCAATAGATGAATTTCGTTACGTGTGAAAACAATGATCAAGGTTTATCATTTAATAAAAAAAGAGATTAATTAACTGATAATCCCGAGTTTATTGTTATCTTCACAGTTTTTTCTACCTGATCGGAGACGTGAGATGTCGCTAAACAGGAGTGGCTGCTCGTACAGATTCTACTGAAATTTCATAATTTTTCTTGTGGCTTAATCTTATATCAAATTCCAATTACCAAGGGATCTTTTATTTGCACGCCAATGTATATACAGGGGGAGGGGGGCATTTCAGGTCCTGCCCCCCTAACATTCTGTTGTTCGGGCACAACAAAGTACTTTTTTATGTTGGTCTATTTCTCAAACAAATAAGAAGGATTTATTTTACAGATGCTCCAAAAAATAAAGTCAAATTGGTGTGACCTCAAACAATAGATCATGACACATTAAATATGGAAGCCTATTGCGGCCATATTTTAAAGGAGCTAAATCGCTAATATTTGGGACCAAGAAATTGACACAAATGGGTGGCAATGCATATAATAATGTAATATGAATGTATATAAATTGATTTACTCTTAATTTCAAATCAATTATGTTCCGCGAAATATGCCAGAAGTCTCAATCAAATGACAATCTCTAGCGTCTGTTTATTCTAATCTACATAGTATTTATTGCGCATACTCTCAAGATATGAAAAAGCCGTCACCGTTTGACATGACTTGTGGAATATGCCTAGCCTCATTCTTCCAGTCCCTTGTTAAAAATGTGCTTGATGTATCAATGGTAAAATGTTTTATTTGTCTTAAATATTGGATATCAGAAGCCCATCTTTTCCTGGTAAGATCACAACATCAATGTCGATTTAAATTGACATATAATTCGTGTTTTCAATGTCGAAGACTTTGGATGATATTGAGTTAGAAACTTAGCCATTTTAATCTATACTTTTTGTTTTTACCATAAATACCACCAACAGAACAATTTACCTAAACCCACGTAAAAATCTATCTAAATCCAACAATATGTCATTGGGCAGTAGCGTATTGTTCGAGCTACAACAGTCATTCATCTGCGGGACCATATTCATCGTCTGCAGTGATTTTTTGTTCATTGTATGCGGTCGACAAAAATAAAAATATTTGTTTGGTGTTTTTGTTTGTTGACATAAATGTTCCATCATCCATTATACTTAAAATTCCAGTATAAGATCGGTCACTTGAATAGATCGGTCACTGCCTTCAGCACTCGACAGTCATACTCATAGTTTATACTAACAGATAGAATTTAATTTAATGAAAGAGATAAACAAACCAGGTCATTTCGGGAATAACATTCGGTTCTATTTTATTTCAATAATTTGCTTGCACGTAGGGGTCTTTAGCAGTGGGAGGAAACTGGATGACCCGGAGAAAACCCTCGAGGGTGGAAAGCAAGCTACCCTACTCCCTGTCACGTACATTCGGGGAATCGAATACATGCTACAAATGTAGTTGACTCAATGACAGACCTTATGCTACAGCGCGGGCGTGCTAACCATTCAGCCAGTCAACCCCCCTGAAACAATAAAGAGAGAAAGAGAGAGAGAAATGGGGTTTTAACGTCCACTCGACACAAACTCGGTCATTTCGGGACTAACATATGGTTCAATTTTATTTCCATAATTCGCTTGCGCGTAGGGGTCTTTAGTTGTGGGAGGAAACCGGAGGACCCAGAGAAAACCTACGAGGTTGGTCATGCGACCCTACTCCTTGTCACGTACAACCGAGGAATCGAAACCCCACCAGTTGACTCAATGACAGACCTTATGCTACAGTGCACACATGCTAACCATTCGGCCATCCAACCCCCCCTGAAACAATAAACACAAGGTATAGTGGAGTAGAACGGAATGAGACCACTGAGGATATAACTTATCGAGTTGGTTTTAACATGATTTTGATATGACAAGGGGAGATCACCCACCCTCTTTTCTTATGTGACACTTTGATATACAAGAACTTTTTTTTATGTTTTATCAATTTCTTTATTACTCCTTCACATGTAAATAACTTAATTAAAGGACAATATTGGTGTCAGTCAGTGATCGAACTTGTTAAAAACGTTCCAAATATAATTTTAACACAGAGATCATTGCTACAATAGATACGTTATGAAGCTTTCAAGAAAGGGAAGTGACGAACACAAAAGGAAAACACGAGTTATCCTTCTATATAACTGACTGAAGTGATGAGTGATAACAGATTCACGGGCGAATTTCTGCTCACTGATATCAGAGGATATCTGATAATTCAAAAACGTAATTGAATGCCACTAGATAAGGGAAAACAAGAAAAATAGAAATAGTCCATACAGTCCTTTGTTTTAATTCATTCTATAATTACTAAAATTATTATAATGCACAGACTTCTATTTTCATAACGCATCTATCGTAGCAATGATCTCTGTGTCAAAATTATATTTGGAACGTGTTTAACCAGTTCTATCACATATGTGGTAATGACTGACACCAATATTGTCCTTTAAATCAACCTGTCCATAATATTTGTAATAAACAACAAACAACAAGTTCTCACATGATTAAATGTTTCACTGTAAGGATATTGGATCATGAATTCTGTTGTGTACCAACAGATTGCCTTTCTTTCTAAAACCAACACCACAAATATCACAATAATACGGTTCTCTACCGGTATGATGTTTCATGTGTTTCTGTAAACTTGGTTTCCATGTAAACGATTTACCACAAACATCACATTTATATGGTTTCTGGCCAGTATGAATTCTCATGTGTATTTTCAAACCGCTACTATCAGAAAACGGTTTATCACAAACATCACATTTGAAAGGTTTTTTTCCAGTGTGGGAGCTCTTGTGAATCTCAAAGCTAGTGCTCCATGTAAATGATTTATTACAAACATCACATTTATAGGGTTGATCTCTTGTATGGACTCGCGTGTGTTTCTTTAAGCAACTTTTCCAAGTGAACGATTTACTACAAATATCGCATTTAAACACCCTTTCACCCGTATGAGTTTTCAAGTGTCTGTGTGCGCTACTTTGTCGAGTAAATGGTTTATTACAAACATCACATTTATAAGGTTTATCTATTGTCTCTTGTGTAATGTTGTCAGCTGATTGTAGGCCTAAATAACTACCTTTACAGTCAGCTGATTGTAGGCCTATGTCAATACCCTCCTGACTGTCAGCCGATTGTAGACCTACGTCATTACCCTTACAGGCAGCTGATGGTTGGTCTACATCATTGCAAAATTTAAATTCTTCAACATGTATTTCACAGTGTTTTTCTAAATCAGTATTAGATTTGAATTCCTCATCACATAAATTACATTGATAGCATGTTTCAATGTCTTCAGTTTTCTCTTCTTTAACATTTCCATGTTCACCATCAGCTTTTTCATCTTTAAAATGAACATTACAATATTCATCTACATCATCAGTTTTCTCTGCTTTAACATGGAAAAATTCATCTACATCATCAATTTTCTCTTCTTTAACACGGCAATATTCATCTACATCATCAATTTTCTCTTCTTTAACATGTATTTTATTGTGTTGTTCTAAATCATCAAGTTGTTGAAAAATCTCATCACATACAACACACTGATGGAATGTTTTAACATCATTAGTTTCCTGTAATATATAAATTTTATAACATCATTAGTTTCCTGTAATATATAAAAGTTATAACATCATCAGTTTCCTGTAATATATAAATTTTATAACATCATTAGTTTCCTGTAATATATAAAAGTTATAACATCATCAGTTTCCTGTAATATATAAAAGTTATAACATCATCAGTTTCCTGTAATATATAAAAGTTATAACATCATTAGTATCCTGTAATATATAAAAGTTATAACTTCATTAGTTTTGGCCGAATCATTTGGTGGCATTATTCATTTTATTTCACTTGTAAAATGAATGATTGTCGCATATTTAGGGTGGGTGGGGGTGGGTGGGGGCATTTGCTAGACAATTTCATAGGGAAAGAAATTATAATTTTCGTGATTTGTGGGTTCACAATATACGGTATGATATAGATAATCACACATTTTAGAAAAAGCTTCTTGTTGTTTTTAAAGATTTAACGTCCAATACATTAAAGCTACAATTTCATATTTTCTAAGAAAGTCAAAACATAATTATTTCTATGTCTTTTGCTCAATAGGTTGTCAACTATTATACGATCATAGTTATCATTCTCACACTCAAAAATGTTTCACACCAGAAATAATAACACAATTACCTTCTAATTACCTCCCTTGTTTTTCTATTCCCTACCATGGAATAGCTATCTTCAAACGTTTGAATTTGAAGTTGAAAATGATATTTTTACCAATTTCTCAACTGGCCATAGTGAATTATAGGATTAATAGGATTATTCTTTATCAAGGTAGGTCTGTTTATACATAGCACCGATTTTAAGGCTTTATTTTAATACATTTTAAAAATATAACTTAAAAATATGAAATTGTAGATTTAAATATGATATTATGGACAGGTTGATTTAATTAAATTATTTAGACTTAATGAGTAGAAAAATCGGTAAAACATAAAATAATACATCAGTGTATAAAATTGGTAAAAAACACAAATTAAAGGAGCCCTTGTATATCAAAAAGTCAATATAAAACACACTTATAAAAAATCGATGTGGTGAGAAGAGAGGGTGGGTCATCTTCTCCCTTTGTCATAATGAAAGAACAGGTTAAAACAGGAGGTCCGGCTGACTGATGTTTGGCGTCATCAGTGCGGATAGAAAAAAACGTGTGGGGAAAATTTGTTTCATACAATTGCTTTCTTCAAAGACAACTGTGGCACTGATTTTATTATGAAAATGTGTTGTTTTAATCAAATTGATTTTGTTGTTTTAATCAAATTGATGTATTTTTAAGTTGGGATGGAGTTATCTTATCTTGGGATGGAGTTATCTTATCTTGGGATGGAGTTGTCCTTTATCTTGGGATGAGTTGTCTTTTATCTTGGGATGGAGTTGTCCTTTATCTTGGGATGAGTTGTCTTTTATCTTGGGATGGAGTTGTCTTCTAACTTGGGATGAGTTGTCTTTTATCTTGGGATGGAGTTGTCTTCTAACTTGGGATGAGTTGTCCTTTATCTTGGGATGAGTTGTCTTTGGGATGAGTTGTCTTCTAACATTTGATGAGTTGTCTTTGGGATGAGTTGTCAGGTACTCATTTGAACAGTTCCGGACAATTTCAAGTTGACAGCAGTATTTTAAAATTCATATTTGTCGAGCAGTGCCTCCCCTTAAATCACAAAAGATTAATAGTACATAACAGAAATTGAGTATTTGGCTTAAAGGAGCTAATTCGCTAATATTTTGGACCTAGAAATTGACACAAATGGGTCGTAATGCATATAAAAATGTAATAGGAATATATATAAACTGATTTACATCCAATCGTTTCCATTTTTACTCTAATTTCAAATCAGTTATGTTCGGCGAAATATTCAGAAGTCTCAATCGAATGAGAATTTCTAGCATCTGGTTATTCTAGTCTACATAGTATTTATTGCGCATACTCTCCCAATATGAATATGCCGTCACCGTTTGACATGAATTGTTGAATGTCTAGCCTCGTTCTTCGAGTCCCTTGTTAGAATGAGCCTGGAACGCATTATGGTACATGATTCGTGTACCAATGGTACAATGTTTATTTTGTCTTAAATATTGGATATCAGAAGCCCATCTTTTCCAGGTAAGATCATAACATCAATGTTGATTTAAATATTGGATATCAGAAGCCCATCTTATCCCAGTAAGATCACAACATCAATGTTGATTTAAAGTAGCTAAGTCTCTAACTCAATATCATCCAAAATCTTCAACATTAAAAACACGATTTATTTGTCAAATTAAATCAACATTCATCTTGTGATCTTACCGGGAAAAGATGGGCTTTCGATATCCAATATTTAAGACAAAATAAACATTTTACCATTGGTACACGAATCGTGTACCATAATGCGCTTCAGCCCCAGTTGCATGAAGAGACTCGAGGGACGAGGCTAGACACATTGCACCAAATCAAACGGCGTATGTAGACTGGAATAACCAGATGCTAGAAATTTGCGCTCGCTTGAGACTGCTGGCTTATTTCGCCGAACATAACTGATTTGAAATTGGAGTAAAAACGGAAACGATTGAATGTAAATCAGTTTATATACATTCATATTACAGTATTATATGCGTTGCGACCCACTTTTATCAATTTCTAGGTCCCAAATGTAAGCGATTTAGCTCTTTTAAATACTGTAATATGAATGTATATAAACTGATTTACATTCAATCGTTTCCGTTTTTACTCCAATTTCAAATCAGTTATGTTCGGCGAAATAAGCCAGCAGTCTCAAGCGAGCGCAAATTTCTAGCATCTGGTTATTCCAGTCTACATACGCCGTTTGATTTGGTGCAATGTGTCTAGCCTCGTCCCTCGAGTCTCTTCATGCAACTGGGGCTGAAGCGCATTATGGTACACGATTCGTGTACCAATGGTACAATGTTTATTTTGTCTTAAATATTGGATATCAGAAGCCCATCTTTTCCAGGTAAGATCATAACATCAATGTTGATTTAAATATTGGATATCAGAAGCCCATCTTATCCCAGTAAGATCACAACATCAATGTTGATTTAAAGTAGCTAAGTCTCTAACTCAATATCATCCAAAATCTTCAACATTGAAAACACGATTTATTTGTCAAATTAAATCAACATTCATCTTGTGATCTTACCGGGAAAAGATGGGCTTTCGATATCCAATATTTAAGACAAAATAAACATTTTACCATTGGTACACGAATCGTGTACCATAATGCGCTTCAGCCCCAGTTGCATGAAGAGACTCGAGGGACGAGGCTAGACACATTGCACCAAATCAAAGGTGTATGTAGACTGGAATAACCAGATGCTAGAAATTTGCGCTCGCTTGAGACTGCTGGCTTATTTCGCCGAACATAACTGATTTGAAATTGGAGTAAAAACGGAAACGATTGAATGTAAATCAGTTTATATACATTCATATTACAGTATTATATGCGTTGCGACCCACTTTTATCAATTTCTAGGTCCCAAATGTTAGCGATTTAGCTCTTTTAAATTGACAAATAATTTGTGTTTTCAATGTCGAAGATTTGGGATGATATTGAGTTAGAGACTTAGCTACTTTAAATCATGCTATAAATATAATATTTTATAATTCATTTAGTATATTATTTTTTTTAATGATCTACCGGGATCTATAAAATATAACAACAAAAAAAACCTGAATACCTGACAACTCATCCCAAAGACAACTCATCCCAGACAACTCATCCCAGACAACTCATCCCAATAAAAGACAACTCATCCCAATAAAAGACAACTCATCCCAAGTCAAAAGACAACTCATCCCAAGTTAGAAGACAACTCATCCCAACTTTAAAAAACCCAATCATTCCAAGTTACAAATAAATACCGCAACAAATATTGATTTTTTTTTATTTATTAAATTAATCAGTAATATAAAAATTTATTATATCAACAATTTATATAAGAATTTATTAGATCAACAATTTATAAAAATAATAATGTTAAATTATTTATTACATCAACAATTTATTAAATAATACATTTTATTATTTATTACATCAACAATTTATTAAATAATACATTTTATTATATCATGATCAACTAATACATTTTTATAAATATGTTTTTTCTTCTGTCAGTATGTCGTTCAGTAGGTTAGCCATTTAGTAAGTTTGCGTTGTTCTTGTCTGTTTTTGCTGGTGCCTTCGTAATTTCCCATCTGATACCATCTTAATTTGTGTTGTTATCCAGTTGTCCAAAATGTATTCCAATATTGTTGAATTTAATACAATATTGTTGAATTTAATACAATATTGTTGAATTTAAAAAAATAACATTAAAGTCTTACCAGTATTACAAGTTCTGTGCTGCCATCGTTCACATCCGTCGCACTGAACAGCCTCCGGTCTTGGGCGAACAACTGACTCACAAACTATACAGCTATCAGACATTTTGAAAAATGATACTGAAATACTACTACTCAGTTTAGTTAATCGATGTTTTGTTAATTAATTTTCTTTGAAGTGCTTCATGATGAAAAAATAAAACAAAACACAACTACCAATCTGTTAAAACAACAAAGTACTAAAACAGTAATACAAACAGTAATCATCAGTTTATTACAACAACAATATCAATTTGATTAAAACAACAATATCAATTTTATTAAAGGCTCAATACCACTCTTGTTGTAACTGAATAATATGTCCCAATCTTTATTCTGGTCAACAAATTGTACTATTTTACAATATTCCAATTAATTGGTGATACAAATTTCATCTTAACACACCTAATTTAAAAAATTGGAAAAATTCAACTAAATGATTTGAAAAGCCTAATGTAAAGCTTTTCAAATGTGACTTGGATTTAAAAATATTTTCGAACCCTCTGGACAAGTAAAATAGGATGTAATGAATAATTTACACGACCGGTAGGACACTTAAACATCTAGTACTTAGAATAAGGCTCTTTTTTATTTTCTGGAGCTGTCAAGCCAGCAAGAGTGTTATTGTCCCTTTAAGATAACAAAATCAGATTGGTTTTGGTCTGAGTGGTCTTCAAAGAAAGCAATTATATTAAAACAGGCACTTAAATTTGTTGGGATGAGTTGTCTTATAACTTGTCTTATAACTCTACCCATGTTTTAAAGTTGGGATGAGTAGTCTTTTATATTGGGATGAGTTGTCTTTTATTGGGACGAGTTGTCTTGAGATGAGTTGTCTTTGGGATGAGTTGTCTGTATACCAAAAAAAACAACAAAAAACTTGCCATTTTGTTCCATGTACGTTAGCTACGAGATCGTAGCTAAACCGATGAGATACTGATGTCAGGGTTGGGAGATGAGATTTGTTATCAGCTGGAAAAACGTCTAGCACAACACAGTTGATATTTCATCAACAATTTAAATGACAGCAAATCTCATTAACGTAGAATCGTTCGCTTCCGGTCTGGTTTATTATTTCAGTTATGTATCTTTAGTTTAGACGTGGATCATTCCAACCCGAATAATTCATAAAATAAGTGACATTTATGCAAGGGCGTTAAAGGACAATAAAGGTGTCAGTCATTATAATATATGTGATAGAACTGGTTAAATACATTCCAAATATAATTTTAACACAGAGATCATTGCTACGGGAGATTTGTAACAAGCACGTGAAGAAACGGGAAGTGACGACAAACATGAGCTATCCTACTATATAACTGAATGAAGTAACGAGCGATAACAGTAGGGTGACCCATGTACTCTACAGAAATAAAGTCCACCGCTGATAGTTCGAGACTACCACTGAAGCGTGCACATTCGCCGTGCCGAGACCAACTTTCTGACAGTATGATACTATAAATAGCCATGGCACGTGCAATTCTCTACAAATCTATCAACTATTACAGCCGTAAAAAAATTATTGTTGACGATTTTGAATAGCAGTGAAATTAAGCTTCTTGGTTATTACAGCAGATTTAGAAATTATGTTCGTTTCATTTTTTAAATCGCTTTATCATTAACTGTACCGATAAGAGCGGCATCTTTTGGTTTAGTACAAATAATATCTCTGAATCACTCGGGTTAGACAGGAACATGATACTAGCAGTAGTTTCATTTTACTTTTACAAGGTTCTTAAAACGATTGTTGAGCTACCTAACGTGCTTATTTCTAAATTCAATTTCTCGTTCTAGCTTTCGTAAAAAAAATAGTCTTGATTATCCCGACCTGTCAATCAGACGTAGAATGGTCGATAGACTGGTTAAACGAGACTAATTTCAAAACAACGGCACGTAACCTATCTTTTACTCAAAAGTGTCTGGATGTTATGGACGACACTTGGAACCAGTTTTCAGTCTATTATTTATAGACGATTAATGGTCATAGCTTATTAAGTACAACATGATCGTTTATTTAGTGAGTATAATTGTGTAAAACTGATTTGAGGCTTGGCATATATATAAATTTGTGGAGTAATTGTCGCGATATATGGAGATATTTATTTATGGTGGGTCACCCTAATAACAGACACGCGATCGAATTTCATTTCACTGATAATTCAGTTGAAGATGAAAAGTTATTATATGGCACGTTGAGAGGATATCTGACAATTCAATATTGTCCTTTAAATGGACTTTTCGGAGAAAGATGCAGGGGATATAACTATGTTTATGTTAAACGGAGGCAGCCCACCATTAATATCCCCATTGATTTCAATGTTAATTCTGGCCACTTTGCCCACCTCCAACTTTTCCCCAAATTTTCGTTGGGATGAATGCTTTTCACTTCAGAGGAACAAATGGCCATGTCTTTGCACTAAAATTTGTATGAGGTTGACCACACAAATTTGGAGATACACAAACTTGAAAAAGCATACTAAAAACATGTAACTAGGTGCCGTACATATCGCCGTAGCCGAATTGATAATCCCGTTATCCTTCCGCCTCAAAATCATGAAATTTACCAAAACCTGGCGGAAAATGTTAATTCATACCCTCTTCGTCCATTCTAGACCAAAAGATCAACAAAAATAGGGATGCAAAAGGGGAGAAAAGTAACAGAAAGAGAATTGCTATAAATAGACGAACTACAATTCGTGGCACTGGCGACGAGTGGGTCAGATTGTCCCAAATCGTGATTGGACGTGTGGTGATTCCGGGACCGGCTGGATGTCCGGGACTACCTAGTAAATGTCCGTTGTTTCCGCTTTACTACGGACTGGTTAACCAGGACTAAGATCTATAAATACACCGTCGCCAGCTACACACGGTCGAGTATGTTTCACACGTTATAAGAAGTAAGTTCAAAGTTGTCATTGTTTATCGCCGTCTGAGTTGGACTCAGTCATTCCCGAATTATCTAGTTATATTGCTCAGTGCCATTTTAATGGTAGTGCGGATGAAAAAATAAATATTTTCTTTTAGTTTAATTAAATAAGTAAAGGTAGTTATAAAGATCGTAGTTAGTTTGTTTATTGTAAGTGTGAGGATTTGTATCGTGTGCGTGTTTCTAGGTTAACGCACGTGCTTTTTTAGCACGCTCCCACACGTGCTTTTACACGTGTAAATTTAAATTGAAGTATTCTGTTGAGGTATTATATAGAATAGAATATAATTAGTACGGGGTATTTTTCTGTGGACATTAGTTCAATTTGATTTGAAATAAATTGAATTTATTTGACTTGTTAGTAATATCACAGAAAATATATTAATTAAAAATAAATATAACAGATCTTTTACATATATAAATATTTAAAACGATATACATGATTAAATATATACAATTAAAATTGAGAATAAAAGTTTGTCTCTTTTAAAAATTTTAGCACTTTATCATATAGCTCCGGTTGAGCAAATAGCTGACGTACTGTCTGACAACGGTAGTATTTAGATCTAATATACTTGAGATGTTTGAACTCAATCGAGATGTGTTTCACTGTCAAAGGAACATGGCAGTGAACACATTCCGGTTGAGGCTCTCGCTTCAAAATGAAAATGCGAGTTAAAAAGGTATGACCAATTCGAGAGCGACACAAAACAACTTCATCCCTCCTGTTGGTTCTATAGGAGTTTGGCCAGTCTCCTAAGAGAGGCTTAATGTGGTGAAGTTTGTTTGTGTCTGCAAGATCCCAAGACCGTTGCCAGCGGCCATATAGGGGATTTAAAATCAGTGAATGATAAAAGGAATTTTGATATGGGAAGATCTAAAGCAGACTTGGCAGCTAAGTCTGCCTGGTCATTCCCTTTAATATCAACGTGACTGGGGAGCCAGCAAAGGACTGTGTCCTTGCCGATAAACTCGTGTGATAGTAGCAGACGATAAATGTGTACAAGCTGTTTATTGTTTATAGCTTGTAAAGAAGACAGAGAATCAGTAAATATAACGTGTTTTAAAATAGAAGATGATTGAATGAACTCCAAAGCCTGAAAGATGGCCTAAAGTTCAGCAGTAAATATGGAAGCAGCAGGTGGAAGTCTGACAGAAATGATTCCTGATGGTGTGACGGTAGCCGAAGCTACCCGATCACCATCTTTGGAACCATCTGTGTAAATCGGATCATAATCACCATATTTAGACCTCAGCTCTCGAAAGAGAGACTGAAACACCGTGGAACTAGTATCTTTCTTTTTGTTTTTCGTTAGATCTAAATCGATCTTTGGAGGCGATATAGTCCAGGGTGGAGTACTAAACAAAGGGGTATTCGCAATACTGTCATGACTGATGCCGGCCTCTGACAAAAGGGGTTGGATGCGAATACCGAATGATGGAATAACATTAGTTCTCAGAAAATATAGATGTTCATGATAGGGTCTAAATATGGTGTTAAATGAAATATGATGAGGCAGAGATGCAATTTTTGTAGCATACTGCAGTGCAAGTTTATCACGTCTGTCGTGCAATGAGGGCTCGTGCGCCTCGACGTATAAACTCTGCACTGGAGATGTACGAAATGCTCCTAAACTGATTCTAAGTCCTTGGTTGTGTATGGTGTCAAGCTCTTTGAGATAAGACTCGCGGGCTGACCCATACACAATACACCCATAGTCGAGTTTGGATCTTATTAATGCTCGATATAATCTGAGCAAGACCTTACGGTCTGCTCCCCAGTCAGTGTTTGATAAGACTCTCAATATATTGAGGGCTTTCAGACATTTCTTTTTGAGTGTTTTTATATGAGGGATAAATGATAATTTCTTATTAAATATCAAACCCAAGAATTTTGTTTCATCTACAACTGGAATGGGACTACCATCCAGTAGACGTGGTACAAGGGTTAATCAGCGAACTGGATGTATGAGATGTGTTGTTGACGTTTGGGAAAGTAGGACGAGGGGAAATGTGTAGGGAGTGAAGTGCTGTAAAGGGATAGTTAGATGTATTATGAATGGTTAGAGTGGCTGTGGTGTTACGGTGAAATACTATGCCGCCACCGTAACACCACAGCTTTATGATTTGTTAGACAGGAGTGATGTAATGGGTGTCAACAACTGGGTATGCTGGTACCGTCGCAACGTAGCCGTGAAATATATATTGTGGGGGGGGGGGAAGGGCGGAAACGGAAAAATATACAATGTTGACAGTATGTGCCAGGCATGAGGCTGCGCAGACCGAGCGGCAGCTCGATAGGGAGTGTGTGGGAGGGTCACCCTCATAAAAAATTTTTTTTTTAAATTTCAGTTTTCTGTAAGCAGTGAAAACACTATTTTGGCATTGTTTGCGGGGTTAAACCTAAAAATCACATTAATACACCTATTGCACGATATTGTGAAACTAGCTGACGAAGACAGCTCGGGCGGCGATTGTTCGACTCGGGGCTGCTCTGTCAGTATCTAACAAACGCATTTAGTTCGCGTACAACTTTTAAAAACCGAATGTCAGTATGGTATTTCTCACATAATTGGTTATCGCAAAAACAGAGTAAACAGAGTAATTTTCTACCAGATGACCATGGTTCTTTTCACCGAGACTAGATAATTTCTCTCGGTGTAAGGATATAGCTATGGATAAGTTCATACAAGGTCAATAAATCCGCGGTCACTTCGGGTCACACTGTTGAGAAAATAAACCGATGGGTTTGTTTAGTAGCAAATCGAGCGTGAATCAACTGAGTTTGTACTGAAAAATTTTTGAGTGATATGTATGAACTGTCTTCACACAGTCGGTTTATAATTAGCGATACACAGGTACAGTGGCAAGTGTTGTACTTCACAGACTGTTTACCTCCGAACTACCTCCGCACGAAATCCCCGATTTGGGTACTTGTTAATAGAAAAAGAAATAGTACCTGTGCGCATGCCAGTAAAAAAAACTAAGAGTTAGCGCATAAAAATGCCCGAACGTACCAGGCGCCAGGTCATCCAGCGTAAGCTCCGGATCAGGATGTAAACCTCTTCTTTGACAGAAGTGCATGCACACAGTCTTGGATTTCGAAAATCGAAATCCATTGTCAGTTGCCCATCGTTGAATA